CCTGAAACTTGGGGTCTCAAGAGCCACTCCAAAGGCGCGCTAAGGCGAGGCCCGCCGGGACCCTCCGGAGTTGTACTTGCGAATCTCTGCTGCCCTCGTGTGGCCAGACTCGGGATTGCAGGTTCTGGTGGCTTTGGCAGAGGCAGAGAATTGGTCCCTCCCACTTCTCTGACTCCCAAACTCCATCCCAACCAACACGGGGAGGATGGGGGGAGTTCAAGACGGTCTGTGTTGCTCTCAGGCTGAGACCCCTGAAGGAGGGTACTGGAGGCCTCAGACACCAGAACAGAGGGGACATTGGTAATTTTTAACTCATTCGGTCGGCAACAGGTATTTATTAAGCGCCTGTGTGCCAAGACTTGTAAGTGCTAGGGACACAGCACTGAACAAAATGATAGAATTCCCTGCCCTCACAGAACTCATGGGTTACTGGGGACACTGGCAATCAACGTGCAAAAATAAGATTTGCGGGAAAACCCAACAGGGCAATGTGATCCAGATGGTTGGAGGGCCTCTCTGGGGCCTGAAGGACAAAGAGAGGCGGGCTATGGGGAAGGGCTGGGGAAGGGTGTCCACGGCCGGGAGGACAGCCTGTGCAGAGGCTTTGGGGTGGGAATGAGCTGGGTGCAGACAACAGGATCATGGACAAAACTGACCAGTTTCTGGTCCTTAGTGAGCATCCACTCCCCAGTGCTGTTATTCAGCAGAGGAAGCCCCCCACCCAAAGGGAAGAAAAGACCCCTCCCCCTGTACCGCCCCGGGATCTTAGGACTTTAGTTTGCCATGGAAAATCCACCACAGGAAGAGAGGCGGAGCTCCAGAGAGAGGTGGTGAGGGAGGGGCGTTGCCAGAGCACCCCAAAGTGGGACCCGGTGCCTCCACTCTCGAATGTGCGTCCCCGGGTGAGTGGCTCCCCGGCTTTGAGCCTCAGATTTATCTGCAGAACTTTCTCTGTAGCTGCGATAGATTTCTCCCTCCCCCATTTCTCCCTTCCCTGCTCTTGAGGTTTCCACGAAATGCCTCCAATCTCCCAGTGTATCCCAGACCCAGACAGGGAGCTGGGGGCACTCCAGTGAGTGGGGTGCTGCCTCTGGGTCGCCCATGTATCTCCCTTCATGCTTCTCTGAGCCTCAGTTTCCCCATTCTGTAACATGGGGAGAAAAAAGTGCTGCCTCTCTCAGGAGGCTGCTGGGAGGATTTTAAGGGATGATCAGAGCTGGGCGTACCAATTCCTACTGATTAGTTTGACTCTGGAAAGTGCAGGGCGGAGGGGCGGAGTCTTGATTTGTGAGCTGTGGAGCCATGGAAGGTGCTGGAAGCCTGGCAGTGTACTGGCTCAGGCTGAGCTTCACGGAGGATGAACGGGGGAGTGAGCTGTAGGTTCGACTGAGGCTCCTCCACTCAATCCTCCTGTGTCCCTTCTCTCGCCTGAGTTCCTCAAGATCCTGAGAGCCTGGGGGCTGAGGTTCAAGGCCACACAGCCAGACCGACAGTGCCAGGGTTCAAACTCAGGTCCAGATCTTCCAAGCGGGGAGTTCTGCCTCCAAGTGATCAGCCTTGGGGTATAACCCCCATTTCGCAAACCTGAGACTACAAGGGTTTGCTGGCTGTCCAAAGAGTCCAGCCTGTCTTAATGACCCTCTGCCCTGTGTCCCTTCACAACCTCCTCCCCCACTACTTGCTCCTCCCACCAGGTCTAGGCTGGAACCCGCAGCCCAGCCTGCGCCGGTGCTCACCAGCTGCTGTGGCTTCTTCCCTCCCGGTGTTGTTTGGGTTTTAATTTTTGTGTTGCAGTTAGAAAATTACCCATAATTACAGCTTCTGAAAGGAAACGTCTCACGGCGCAGACCCTGCTCCCAGCTGTGGCCGCCTCCCACGCACGGCTGAGGAGGGGCTGCAGGGGTCTCCAGCCTGGATCCTGGCCCCTCCCCGAATCCCTCCCTTCCCCCGTCCCCCCTCCCCATTAATGGGCTGCTTCCACCTGCTGTGGAGAGGAAAAAACATCACCGGGAAAACCCAAACTAGCCTTCCCAACGACTCAAGCAACATATTCATGGACCTCTACCGCTGTGTCTGCAGGGAGAGCAGATCCAGAGGGAGGCGGAGGCTGCCAACAGATGACTTAGGCATTATTTTATCATAACAGTGACAAGTCCAACCAAGGCTAGTGCAGAACCAGTAATCTGGAGGAGATGGCCACGGAAGGCAAGGAGTTGGGGGAGGGAGAGATGGAGGAGGAGGAGAAGAAGGGGAGGAGGAGGGAGGAGAAGGGAAAAGAGGGAGAGGAGGAGAAAGAGAAGGGCGAGTGGGGGAGAAGAAGGAACAATGCGGCCAAAAGTCGAAGGAGGCCAGAACAGGCCAGGCCAAGAGCCAGAGAAAAGAGCGCTCCAGGAGGCAGGAACGGCCAGTGCAAAGGCCGAGAGGTGGGTCTGAAGAATGGAAGGGTTGGAAGGGAGTGAGGGGAGGGATGGCTCCTTCTGCAGGCAATCCCCCTAACCTACAAGCAGAGCCGACTTCGGACTCTCCCAGGCACCAACCCCGACGTTAAAGGGCTGGGGTTTGGGGGCGTCGGTGGTCCCAAGAGTCAGAGACCCAGCTCAGGGCTGCAGTCCCCGGCAGCCACACGGGGGCGACCGGGAGCCGGCAAAGGAGCTGCAGGTCTGGGGCCCAGCCTTAACCCTTAGCGCTCCTTGCTTACCGTCCCCCGCCCCCACACCGGCTCCTAAATCAATTCCCGGGCCTGTCAGGTCCTCCAGGGCCTCTTACCGGGTCAACCTCCCTGCCTCCTCCACGCCATCCCGATCTACCTGGCAGCCCCAAGGAGCTTCTTAAAATCCTGACGTAGATCCCGCCCCTCGCGGCTACACACCTTCCTATGGCTCCCTATTCCTTTTAAAACAAAGCCCAACCCGTCCCCACCAGGAATGGCCCGACCCGTTTCCTCCTTTCACCCCGCCCTCCTCGCTCGGCCTCCAACACTTTAATCGTGTGCCCACCTCAGGGCCTTTGCACTTGCCGTGACTACAATCTGAACATTCTTCTTCCAGATCTTTCGGATCCACCCCCTCCCCTTATTAAATATACATATATATATATATATGTTTTTGCAAGACGTGCGTTCTGGTTGGTTGTGCACGCGGCTCAGCTCCCCGGACGCCGCATGGGGGCTAGAGCTTGCTCTTCTCCGACTTTTCCGCCGGCGCCGAGGCAGTGTTTTGGAGATCCGTCCCTGTTGCCATGAGAACCGCGCTAGTCTCTCCCGCCGGCCGCGCTACCCCCTCCGCAGCTAGCCCCGCCACGGGCGCCTCCGCCTCCCAGCCTCCCTCCCTACGCCTTCCGCCCCTGCGGTCGCCCCGTCCTCTTCACCGGGGTCCCCTCCCTCTGCCCATCACGTGGAACTCCCTGAAATTATCCTACTGTTCGCCAGCTTTTGACTGTCCGCCTCTCCCATCAGACCCTCTGCTCCACAAGCAGTAGCAACGTGTCCCGACTGGGTCCACAGAGCCCGGCACACAGGAGGCACTCAATAAATATTTGTGGGGAGGATGAAGACTCACATCGACTCAAGGAACCGGAGCTCAGAGAGGGCCATGGACCCGCCCAGGGCACACAGAATTCTGGGGAGCAACAGAGCATTAGGAGATAAATGGGGGCGCCTGGGGTGGTGGTGGGAGCGTCCGTGGGAATCACAGCTGTCACCAGTACACTGTGTGGCTTGGGTGAGTCACACCCTCTCTGTGCCTGGCCGGGAGTAGTTGTTGGAGAGCGGTGATGGGAACAGGTATTACGATGAGGGTGTCCTTGACGCCCACGTTCACCGGTGGCCCCCGGGTCATTGGGCAGTCCCCATCTCGACGTCCGACTGAAGCTGGCCTGCCGCGCCCCCATTAGTGAGCAGCGCGGGCCCCTCCTCCGCGCCGGCCCGGGGCCCGGGAGGTCCGCGGGAGAGGAAGTTGGGGGAGGGGACGACCTGCTGGACAGGAAGTGGGAAGGGTTGGCGTGTCCCCCCCTCCCCCCTGGCCGTAGCCCCTCGGGATGGAGGCGGGGCTGGGGCCGGCCTGGCCCTTCCCTTCCTCTTCGCCTGTCTGGAACCGCAGCGGTTCAAGACTTCCCGCCCGGCAGAAGACCTGGGTGGGGAGGAGGCCGTTGGAGGCATAATGGGGGGTCGGCCGGCAGCGGGAGGGACGCTCCGATCATCACATAACACACGACACAGGAAATGTGAGTGCACAGCCACACCACACACGTCCCAGGGAGACAGCAATCCACTCATTCGGGGAGGCACGCACACTAGTGCACAAAACCTGACGCAGCGTCACTCGGCCCCGCACGGCCGCCGCGGACACATAACCACTGTCGCAGAGCCAGGGACAGTTGCCCAGACAGCGACTGGGTGCCTGCCAACCCCCCACGCACAACGACGCACACGTGCACTCACACAGGAACCGCGTGTTTACACACACACTTGTGGTCGTAAAAAGAAAGAAAAACAAAAAAACCTATGGCAAACGTTCACGGAAGCATCTAGACCTAGAGTCACAACTGGACCGCCTCCCGCCACCTAGCCCACGCACGTCCGGCGCACACTGCCCACAGGTACCTTGGCACACAGGCCTCCGCCCCCACCCCAGACACCCCTGCCCTGAGGGTGTCCTTGCCTCGGTGTCGGCCTCCACCTCTGCACACCTCCTGGGGGGAGAAGAAGGGCCCTAGGAGGGAGAATGGGGTGCCCACTGCCTGCACCCCTGACTCCTGCAAAGGTGCTATTAAAGTTGGAATATTTACAGCTGGCAGCACAGGCTGAGAGGCGGAGCCAGCGGGAATGACCCAGTCAGTCAAGTCACCCAGCACCTACAATTGACACGGAAGTGTGACTGTGGGGCAGTGCAGGGTAGCTCCCAGGGTGTGGCCTGGGTACCCCAGGAGCTTCTTGTCTGTGTGGTGTCTTTGTGCTGCATGTATCTGTGTTGTGTGACTGTGTGTTGCGTGTGACTGAGCCATCTGTGGTTCGGTGAGACCCCAGGTCCCTGTGTGGAGCCCTCGGGAGGCTGCGACGGTGTGCCCCAGGGTGACAGCAAGTAGCTGCGTGGGCTCTTTCCACAGCTGTTGGAAGCTATGGCACAGCGGTGCCGATGCTTGTCTCTGGGCGGCTGTGTGCGTATGTGAGCGTCGAGTGTGTTTCAATGTTCTGTAACAGCCACTATTTGAGCTGTATATACCTACGTGTATGACAGTGTATCCCTGGGCATACTGTGTGTGTGGCGGTTCCCACCCGTGCTGGGCGTGGGTAGCTCTGCGGGGCGATACACCCAGTATAACTGCCTGTAGCTTTACGGGGCTATCAGTAGTTGTTCCAGTAGCTATAGAGACTTCAGTGTGCAGTCCTGTGTCGGAGAATGTAGCCGCAACTAAGTGTGTGGCTGTGTTCTTGGGTGTACAATTTGGGTGTATCTGGAAAGTGTGTGTGTAGCCGTGATCAGCTGTGTCCCGCTGTGTGTCCCCGTGTGGCTGTCCCCAGTCGCACCGAGTATGTGTATCCCCGCGCCCCCTCCCCCCGCAGCGGGCACTGCGCGTGCGCGCCCGGCCCACGGTCTCGGCGGCGGGACCCACCCGCGCTCACGCCATCGCCCCTTTAAGAGCGGCGCCCGCGGGCGACGGGGAGGCGGCGGGCGGGGGCGCGCGCGGCGGGAGGAGGGGGCGCGCGCTTCCCGGAACAGCCCGCGCTGAGGGAAGAGAGGAAGAAAATAAAACCCGCGGCCGGAGCCAAAGCTGGAGCTGCCGCCGCCGCCGTCTCAGCCGTCTGGAGCTCCCCCGCGCGGACGATGCCCGCGATGCCCGCGCGGGGCTCGGGGCGGTGAGGCCCGGGGCGCGGGGTAGCTATGGCGACCGGGAGCGCGGCCCGCGGCGCCGCCTGACAGGTGTGGGGCCCCGGCGGCGGCACGGAGCAGCATGTACGCCAAGGGGGGCAAGGGCTCGGCCGTGCCCTCCGACAGCCAGGCACGAGAGAAGTGAGTCGGTGGTCCGGGACCGTGGTTACGGGGGCGGGGCTCGGTGGCCGCGCCGCTTCCGTGGCCCTAACGCCGGCGGGCACCGCGTGGGGCACGTGGGTGCGGGGCAGGAGCGAGATTTAAGGGGCGCGCGAGACCGGAGGGGCTGGAGGGTCGCGAGCTACTGGGGAGCTCGCTAGACCCAAGGGGCGTGAGGGGCTTAAGGGGTCGCGAGATTTGAGGGGACGCGCGAGATTCGAGAGGTCGTGAGAGTAGAAGGGACCCCGGAGACCCGAGGGGGGCGAGATTGCGGGGGCGCGCGAGATTCGAGCGGGACTAGAGGGTCGCGAGACCTTCCCGACGGTTAAGCCTTGGGTGTGGGAGGTTGCGAACGCGTGTGCGCGCGGAGTCGCCATTCGTGCCGCTTCCCCCATCCTCTGGGGAAGTTTCCCGGACAGGCGAGACTGGCCGCTCTGGGCGCCTCCCCCCTCCCCCGCTGCTTCCCGAAAGCTTGAGAGACGCGAGATGGGCTTGAGGGGCGCCGGCTCCACCCCTGAAAGGCCACCTGTCCAGCCGGGCCTGGGGCAGCTGGGTGGGGCCCTTGGGGAAGCTGCAGGATCACAGTCCTGCGGCCCCCACTTGTTCTGGGCATGGCGCTGGGCCGTGGGTAGCAGATGGTCTCAGGCTGGTAGAGGGGCAGGTTCCTAACTCCCAGACTCTGCAGTGAGGGGCGGAGGGCGCTCAGAGCTTCTTGGGGTGGGGAGGAAGCTGAGCTGTTGTGCTTGTCTCCTGGCCCTGCCACTTACCTGCCCTGTGGCTTTGGGTGAGGGAGCACTCCCTCTTAGGCTTATTTTCCTATCCTGAGAAATGCAGACATAATAACAGTGCTGTCTCTTAGGTTTGGGGAGTGTTTGAAAGGTGCTAGGACGTGTGACTGTCGCACAGCAAGGGCACCCAACAGTTTGCAATATTGTTAAAGTGCCAGGGAAAAGAGAAGGCTTCTGATGTCTGATGGCCAATGGCTGATTTGCAGGATCCTAGAAGTCAAGCCACCTAGGGCCGGAAACCAGCTGCTGGAGCAGTTAGGAGGCTGAGTTATTGGGGAGAGGTCCCATGATGACTCTCTTTGAGGGCCAGAGCGGGAGTGAGGACTTGAACGTCAGGGCAGTGAAAAGGAGCCCTGAATATGGGCTGTCTCCTGTCTTTTCTTCCTGGACTGACATTGGGACACCGCCTCTCCCCCCAACCCAAGGATGAGTGTCCATTCTCTACCCAGCCTCGGGGTCATTTTGGAGAAGAGATTCTTCTGGCCAGGAGATGCTAGACAGATGATTGCCCTTCCAGACCTCTCTTGTCTGCACAGTTACGAGGTTGGGGTCCATTTCCAAGCACCATTAAGCAGGAAGACTTTTTGAAACTGGCACCTGGCTCCTGCCCAGGTTGGAAGCAGGGGGGGGTGTAGCCACCCCACTCCTGGGGATCTTGGCACATCTCCAGCCATCCTTGTACCCTGGCTTCTGGGCTCTGGGGGCTACCACTCCCCCAGTGGGAATCGTTCACTTGTTCAGACATGTGCTGGGCTGGGTCTTGGGGTGTAGTGGTTGGGAAGCCAGGCCCTGGCCCTGAAGAAGCCCACATCCTAGCTAGGAGGCAAGTGAGTTACTCAGCAAGCCGATGGAAGGATCTGGAGCTATGCTCTGAGAAAAGCAAAATGGGAAAGTGGGCGGTAGTGAACTGTGAGGAGGTGTGTCAGGTGTGCAGAGACCTGGAGGAAGAGCTGATGGCTGAGGGCACAGCAAGTGCAAAGGCCCTAGGGCGAGGCCAGGCCAAAGAGCTGGGGCTGGTGCCCAGGGTGGGGATGTGCTGTGTGGGCCAGAGGGGCTTGTGTTCCAAAGTACACTCCAGCTCCTTTGTGGAGTGGGGCTTACTGGGGGTCGCGTGAGGGTAGAGGGCCAGGAGACCTGGGGGAGGCAGGCACAGTTATCTGGGAGAGAGCTAATGGTGGCAGCTTAGGGGGTGGCCGTGGAGATAAGCGAAGGGAGGAAATAGGTTTGAGCTGGGGTCATGGTGTTTGGAGTGCGTTTCAATCCCACTAGACAGTCCAGGAGAGATTTTGAGTCTTTGAACTGGGCCTCGGCTCTTGGCTAGGGGTAGAAGAAGGGGTTATCTGACTTCTTGGCCAGAGCCATCCTGCGCTCATCCATTTCTTGTCGAGAGGGTCCTGTGGCAGCGTTGGCTTGGAGGCGAGGTTCTGCCGCTAAAGAAAGTTTGGAAAACACCAGATGGTGGCATCCACTTCACTGACGGGGATGCCAGGCCCTGGAGAGGAAGGACCCTGCTGAAGACTCAGGTTCTGGGGCACAGGAGAGCTCTCAGATGCTTGGGACTGATACACTAGAGAGGCAGGCTGGTTGCTCTGAGCCTCAGTTTCCCCTCTGAAACATGGACAGCCGGCCTTGCAGGATTCTGACGAGGACTGGGGGAGAGGCTGCAGATAGAGCACCCCTCACAGGCATTCACCAATCACGCCACTTCCTGTCTCTGGGCCTTGGTTTCCTCCTCCGTGAAATGGGGTGAAGGGGGTTCCACTGCTCGACTCTCCAGGACTGTTTTTTCCTCCCTGATCTCACCCTCCTGACTCCTCCTGCCCTTCCTCTTTTTCCTTCTTGGGCCCCTGTCCTGAGCCCCCTCTGGCTCCCCATCTCAGCACTAGGTGTGGGCTAGCCTGTCCCAGAAATGGACTTAGTGCCTGCTTGGTGCACAGATGGTGGGTCCCTGCTCTTGGGGGCTCACAGCAAACCGTGGTGACTGCTGGGTCCAGGGAATACAAGGAAGGGATGGCAGGGTGGGCGAGAGGGAGGCTGGGGTCTGAGTGGGCTGCCTGCAGGAAGACACAGCCTCTCCTTGTGTAAATGATGAACACTCCAACCTACAGGGAAACCCCGAGATCACTTCCTACCCAGAACTAACTAGCGCTTGCATTCGGTCACTGGTTTCAGGTCTCTTTAAATAAGATGAAGGTGACAGGGACAGTTGAAGGCCCCTGTGTCCCCTTTGCATCCCTTCCCCCTTCCAGCCCCAGAGGCTTTGCTGTCCTAAGTTGAGGGGAGAGATCTAAATGTTTGCATCGTGTGTGTACATCCTTGAACACTTTAAGTGCTGCCACGTGGGTTGAGAATAGTTCCGTAAGTGATGGTCACTGTCAGTGTCACTGGGCGTCTTGTGTTTTTCTCCCAGGATTAGTTTTGTTTTTGTTTTTTTTTAAGATTTATTTAGTACTTATTTATTTTTGACTGCGTCAGGTCTTAGTTGTGGCACACGGGATCTTCGTTGAGGCATGCAGATTATTTTGTTGTGGCACGCGGGCTTCTCTTTAGTTGTGGCAGCGGGTTTTCTCTCTGTAATTGTGGCGCGTGGGCTCCAGGGCGTGTGGGCTCTGTAGGCTGCAGCACGCGGGCTCTCGTTGAGGCGCGTGAGCTCAGTAGTTGTGGCACACGTGCCTAGTTGCCCAGCAGCATGTGGGATCTTAGTTCCCTGACCAAGGACGGAACCCGCGTCCCCTGCATTGGAAGGCGTATTCTCTATCACTGGACCACCAGGAAAGTCCCCAGGGTTAGTTCTGATATGGGCACATCACCTCAGGTAGTTTGTTCATTATCCCAGCAGGCAAGGGGCTCACCATGTGTCTGTCCCATCCCTAGCTGGGCTTCCAGGTGCCCATGCCCGTGGGCATCCTTGTTGGAGGGGGGTGCATGGGTAAGAGGTTCTTGAAAAGGAGCCCCCAAACTGAGTCCTGGAGGCTGAGCAGAGCCCGTGGACACAGGGGAGCTTTCTGGGAAGGTCTTGAGGCAGTATCTGGGGGGCAAATGCTGGGATGGAATTTGTTAGTGGGGGCGGTTACTTTGGCTGCTGGGTAGGAGAAAGGCTGTAAGGGGCAAATGTGGAGGCTGCCAGGAGGCCGGTGAGGAGGGTGGCCACCACCCTGGCTCTTAAGAGCTGAAGGCCTGGCCATGAGGGTGGCAGAGGGGAGGGAGGAAATGTGTAGGCTGGAGAGTCCCTTAGGGGCATCGGTGGGACCTGGTGATGGATTAGATGGGGGTGAGGGAGTGACACAAGGCCTTGAGTAGAGAGGGCTTCTCCCAGCCCCCAGCAGTATGTGCCTCCAGGGGCTTTAAAGGGGAGGGGGAGCCTGGCAGGGAGCACCTCTTACCTTAATTCTTGGTTATTATGGTAATTCTTGATGATGAAGGTAGTACTGCTGTGTTTTAGTCCAGGAGGCTCCAGTACCCCATTCTGTCACCACTTCCGTGTGCAAGCTGCAGCTTCTCCCCATGAGCACTCCAGGTCTGGGCACCCTGTATCCTCCAGGTCACCGTTCCTTCTGGAGCGAGGGCCCCCGGTGCACCCCACACTCCCTCCCATCTCCTGCCCTCTTGCATCGGGAGCCCCTCTGATGGGTGGGCTCTTCATTCTGCAGGTCATTTGCTGACCAGGGCTGGGGTGGGGCCAGGATTTGGATCCAGAGCCCAGGCCCTTTCCCACAACCCATCTCAGGGCCTAGACAGTGACCTGCAAGCCATAAGCCCTCCCTGAGTGGTGGGCCCTGGAGGTCCTGAAACAACCTGACCAGATGTCCAGGCTTCAAAAGTTTTCAATGAAAACAAAGAAAGCTGCTCACAGTTCTCTGAGACTTGATCTTGATAAAAATTAAAGTACCAGCATATAAGAGAAATCAAGCAAAACTGAAAACCTTCTCTGGCTTCTCTTTGCTCTTGGGATAAAACCCCAAATTCTTAACATCAGAATAGTAAGTGCTGACCTTCATAAGTGCCTACTGGACATCCCGGGAGCGAGGGGGTTCAGGGTTGGTTGGTTCATTCATTGGGGTGTCTGGGGGCCCAGGATGCCCAGCGCTGTGTAAGCTCAGGAGTGAGACGAGGTCCCCGCCCTCCCAAAGCTATATCCAGTGGGGGCTGCAGGCAGTAAGCAGAGGGCCTTGTGTCAAATGGAGATAAATATGATGGGGGGCAGGTGGAGAATGGAGCAGGGCTGCCGTTAGAAGTGATAGGGAAGCCTCTGCCCCGTGACTTTGGAGCCATGAGGGTCTCTAGCAGAAGCGTCTCAGGCAGGGAAATGGCCTGTGCAAAGGCCCTGGGGTGGAGAGGTAGAGAGTGGCCAACGTGTATGGGAGGCACTGAAGGGTCTGAGTGAGGAGTGCTGGTGGGGAGGGGAGGAAGCAGCTCCTAGAGGGGCCCTGTTGAAATCCAGGTAAGTGATAGTGGTGGCCTGGACCAAGTGTGTGCTGAGGAAGGCAGGGAGAAGGCTCAGAATCAGGAGAGAGAGTGCTTTTTCCTTAAGTTTTTCCCCTAAATTCAATAAATGTAGTGACCTCTGGGGGACAGCTAGGTGGATCTTCACACTTGCGCCACACCTATGTGAGTCAAGACCACCCAGGTCAGGGAACAGGAGGGGAAGGAGAGGAAGAAGCTGGGGTGGGGCTGGGCCTTTAAGATGTCAAGTGGACAGCAGACCCTGAGTTCACGGGGGAGGCCAGGCTGGAGGAACCCTGTGGGCAGCTGCACCACGTCAGTCATCAACATCAAAGCAGGAGGGGAGGCCACCCAGGGAGAAGAGAGGAGAGCTGGGGCAGGGCCGGAGGAGGGAGGAGAGCAGGCAGTGGTGGGCTCCGGGACCTGCATCCTGGGTCCGATGCCACCCCTGGCCAGTGGAGGGTGAGAGGTGATGGAGAGGGACCCGATGGGCTGGCAGCATAGAGCCCTTGGTGGCCTTAGTGGGAGCCAACATGTTCTTCAGGAGGCTCCCTGAACCCTGAGGAGAGGCTTCTGCTCTTGGTGGAGGTGGGGCCAGACTGCAGCCCCCCATGTGCTCCCCCTGCCCTGCTGCGCTTCCCTTCTGGGCAGCCTACCTGGATCCCCCCTCTCTGTCTTGCTCCCTGTCTCTGGGTACCTCATTCCCTGCACCGTTCCCCAAGGTGGCAGGGGGCCAGCTGGATCTCTTCAAACCTCTCTATTTGCCTGGAGGGTCGGTTGGTGAGCAGGCTGGGGCTGCTCAGGTCTCCTCTGGCCCCATTGACTTTTCATGTTCATTTCTTCACTGATGGACTCAGGCCTGGTAGATGCAGTCCACTCGTGAAGGCTCAGGAAACCTCTAGAAAGGGAGTGGGGGGTCCCAGGAGTGAGTTGGACAGGTAAGCCTGGAGGCTGGGGGGTGAGGAAGACCACTGGGCTGGAGAAGGGTGGATGCTGCCGCGGTGCGATGTTGCAACCTGGGGGCGCCCGGGCTGGAGGCGCTGCTGAGAGGGGTGTGATGATGAGGCAGGAACCTTGGCCAGTCTTGGGGGAGACCCATGCTCAGAACTATGTGAGCCCCACAAATCCTACCCCTCTGTGACCTGTTTCTGTCCCTCCGGTGGCTGTCACAGCTCGCGTGGTGTAATGTGAGCTCTGGACATACCTTGCCCTGGTTCAGCTGCCCACCCGGACTCCCTAATGTCCCCCCTTGTACTCCTGTAGCACACACTACCTTCCACCCCACCAGATGACTTACCTCCTCCTTTGTATTTTTGCTCCTCCGTCTCTCCCCGTGAGCAGGTAGCCTCCAGGGAGACAGGGGTCTGTTGTGTTCACTGCTCAAGGAGGTGAATGTTTGTTGAATGAATGACTGAAAGGACGGATGGATGGATGAAGGAAGGAAAAGAGGGTCCAGGGCAAGGGCAGAAGCCTTGGGGTGGGGCCTGGGACAGAAGGGCTAGAACTGCCTTGGTGAGGTCTGAGCTGGAACTGGGGGTGGGGGTGCTCTGCAGAGGGGGCTGGGATGTGAGGATTGAGCAGCCTGGCTGGGAAGGGTGAGAGAAAGCAGGAGCATGAGTCAAAGCAAGGTTATTTCAGGATGGGGCCATCAGCCAGGGGAGGGAGGCCAGCTGAGCGGGGAGGCATCTGGAAGGGCCTACAGCTTTCACCGGAGCAGCCTCAGGCTGGCCCTTGGGGAGCCCCCGGTCTCAGATCCAGACTCCCCTCGGTCCACCTGGGGCCTGGCTGGGTAGTAGGAAGACCCTGGAGGTGCCCGGAGGGGCCGGTACTGGTAGAGTGGGGGCTGGGGAATGGGTGACCCTAGCGGGTGGGGAATTGTCCCTCTGCTGGAGGGTGTGGAAGACAGATTGGGGTGTGGTGGAGGCCAAGGATGGAAAGGCCTGGAAGGCAATGTGGATGGTCCGGCCTCCCTGTGTGGGCCAATGGATGGTGTTGCTGGTTGGAGCGTGGCCTGTGCTCTTGGGGTGGGCAGTGGCCGAGTTGGTGTGTCCAGGGGTACTGGGCACTGTGGGCATTTGGACAGGGCGGTGCCGTGGCAGCTGAGTGGCACTGCTGGCCCTACCTCCCATTTCCCCAGACTCCCCCTTGGGGGGCTGGTATGGATATGTCATAGCCACCACTGGTGGATGGGAACTGATCCTGAGGAAAAGGATGGGGTCTAGGGAAACCTGGAGGAGGAAGACCTCGGGTCAGAGAGCCCCTTTTCTTCCTTGGCAGGTGAGGCTGGGAGTGAGTTAGGCGCTGGGCCCTGGCCACATGGCCCAGGGTGCCTGCTGGGAGACCCCACCCAGAGCACAAACTAGAGTGAAGCCCAGGAGCCATTTCTCCAAGGAGAGGAACTCCCTGGGGCCAAGGCTGCTATAAGGTCTCAGCATTGGCAGGATGGGGCCAGGACTTGGTCCATCAGGGGGGTGTTGAACTGAGCAGAATTTGGCCTGGAGGTGGGGGGCTGGGGACTGCTAGGAGTGCTGCCTAGAGGAGGGGCCTGCAGGCTGTGTGTTGATGGATGTGTAGGAGTTGGCCAGGCTGAGCAACTGGTGAGGAGGCCATCTCTTCTGAGGGGTGGGGGAGGTGGGGCGAGGGGGAGACCAGCAGAGGGAAGTGAGTGAGGCTGGTAGTAGGTGGTAGGTACAATGAGGGGCTCACTGTGGGCCCCTGCCCTTCTCCACCTTCCCACCAGAGGGCAGGTGCCGCACCTTAAAACCCCTCCCAGGGACCCTCGGGGCAGAGCTTTGGGTCTGCCTGGACCTCCTGAGAGCCTGAGCCGGCCCCCACCCCTCCCGCCTGCAGGTTGGCGCTGTACGTGTATGAGTACCTGCTGCACGTTGGTGCCCAGAAGTCAGCCCAGACCTTTCTGTCCGAGGTAAGCTGGCCTGGCCAGGCAGGGCCCCCACAGCCAGCCCCTTCCTTGGCACCCACATCCTGGGATCCTCCCTAACCCATTTTTATCAGGTCTCCGTGGTGGGGTTGGGTTGTGCCCTGGGAACTGAGGGCTGCGGAGCGGCGGGGCTGGCATCCCGGTATCTGCCCATCCATCTGAGGATCTGCCTCCCGCTCCTCTGTCCCTGTCCTCACCAAGCTGTCCCCCTCCTGGCTCCCTTGCTCTGATCTGCTGGTTTCCTGCCCCGGTGTTTCCTGGGCCCCGGGCTTGGGTTGGGGCTGCCTCTTGGGAGGGGAAGGGGTCAGACAGGGCCAGGCCGTTAGCCCTCACCTTCCTTCCCTCTCCCCTGCAGATCCGATGGGAGAAGAACATTACGCTGGGGGAGCCCCCGGGCTTCCTGCATTCCTGGTGGTGGTGCGCGCAAGGCTGGTGTGGGTGGGACATGGGGGGGGGCTGGGGGGGGGCGTGGGGAAACCATCGTCCCCCCCTGCCGCCCACAGCGTGTTCTGGGACTTGTACTGTGCAGCGCCCGACCGCAGAGAGGCATGCGAGCACTCGAGTGAAGCCAAGGCCTTCCAGGACTACGTGAGTCCCCGCCCCAGGGGCTGGGACCAGGGCTCACGGGTGTGGGCAGGGTCCTGTGGCCTTGGGGGGCTGCATGGCCGGAAGCTGGCTCAGGTGGGCTAGTGGGCCAGGCTGGGGGGTTTGACCCGAGATCATGGCTTCTGTGGGGTTCCTCTGCCCCCCACTGCACCCAACTCCTGACGGTCCCCATGAGCCCCACACCCTCCGGAGGCCAGCCCCTCCTTTGCTCCCCCTCACGTGAACCCCATGTGGAACCAGGTAGACAGTGCCACAGCTCCTGCCTCCCTAGCTCCGTGTATGTGGGGCCGGACAGGTGGCCACCACTGCTTGTCCCCTCCCACCCCAGCCTTTCCAAGCCTTCTGGGGTGGGGGCCCAGGCAGGGGTGCTGGGGGACGGCTAACTGCCTGTGCACCCTGGAGCAGGAGAGGCCGAGCACTTGGCAGATCTCCCAACCTTGCTCTGCGACTGGGGCTGCTGACTTCACGTCTTTGGCCTCAGTTTCATACAAGTTGAGTGGGAGTCAGAGGCCTGTCCCGAGAGGTGGGTGGGTAACGTGAGGGGGCGGGCGGCACCTTGTTGTCATGGGGAGATGGTAGCCCCCTGCCTTTAACTTCTTCACCCTGGCCTGTGGGGATTGGCCACCTGGCCCCTGAGAGAGGTTCCCCCTGCCCTCCCCCCTCCCTTGCAACCACTCTTCCTGCAGTGGGCGCCTTCATATCCTGAGCCCTCTGCTCTGCTGTGCCCCTCAGGGCCTGGCTGTTCCCCGCCTTCTGCGGTTAGTCTGGGTCCCACACCACGCACGGCCTCGCCAACAGAGAGGCCCCCCTGTGGAGGCGTGCAGACCTCTGCAGGGCCAGGGTGCAGCCCGAGAAGGCTGGGGTTCACCATATCCCTGAAGACGCCCCATGCACGCTGTATGCGCATTTATGGGAGCCGAGGTCGCTGCTGTTCACCCCCATCAGGTCCCACTATTCATGTGGTCCCGCCAGAACTGGGGTAACAAGTGTGTGTAGCTGTGTGCGTGCGTGACTCCGCGTGGGCCCAGCTCTCTCTCCCCAATGTAGCCCCCAGCTCCTCCCTTTGCCTCTCCTGGGCCCCTTGAGCTCTGTTTCCCCTCCCGGGCTGCGCAGCCCTCCCCTCTCCGCGCCTGCCTTCGTCCCCGCCCCGAGCCTGGCGCCTCCGGGGAGGGGAGAGCGCGGTCTCCCAGCGGAATGAGCGCGCTTCCTGGGGCGCGCTGCTGGTTACCATGGCAGCAGGGCGCGTCAGGGGAGGGGGGTGGCGCCCCGTCCCTGGGGTGACAGGGTCCCTGTGTCAGCAGACTGAAGCCAGCTACACGTTCTGCCCCACCTCCGCACTTACTGGAGGTGCGGTGAAAGGGCGTCCTGCCGCCTCTCCCTCGCAGTCGGGGCTCCCTCCTCCGCCCTCCGCCCCCTGAGGGGGCTCAGTCAGAGCCTCCCGGCTGGGGGCCAACCTCGGCGTCTCCAGGAAACGCGAGCGCGCCCAGCCTGTTGTTATGGCAACGCAGGCCAGGCTGGCGCCTCTGGGGGTGGTTGATTGACTTGGGGGGTCCAGCTCAGGTCACCCGACCGGGAGGGTGGGCCCTACCCCCCACCCCCCAACCCTGGATTAACCCTTCAAGGCCTAGAGTTGGGGAGCCCCATCTTCTCCCCGCCCCCACACCTCACGGTCTGGAGCGGCAGCCATCCGCACCACCACCCTCCCCAACCAGGAAATGCTCTGGCGCCTGCTGCGGCTCAAAAGGGGGGCTGCGCTCCTGCCCTCCGTAAGGGTTGGGGAGGGGTGGACAGACCCAGGGCTCAGAGCTGTTTCCCTCCAGCCACTGAGGCCGGCGCCAGCGAGAGTAGCTGCTCTAAGCCATCGTGTTGTGTTTGTGGGAGAGGGTGAGGTGGAGGGCAGGGGTGACCCAGCATTTTGGAGAGGGGCTTAGAGCTTCGTCCCCCTCCACCCCCGGGGTCACTTGGGTTTTCAAAGATTTGTGCTGGGCCCTGCGAGTGCTCGCACTGGTACCCTCCCAACTTGGGCCTGGGTAGAAATCCATTAGAGGCTGACCTTTGAGAAGGAGCAAGAAGGGGGCAGGTGTCAGTCCACAAAGGGAAGGGTGTGACTCCAGGGGCCCTGCTCCGACCCAGACGAGGGGCCCCTTTCCCCACTTCTGTAGGGCAGGATGCACTGTGTGACCATGGGCTAAGTGCTTAACTCTTCGGAACCCAAGTGGCTGCAGTTCCACAAATTCCTGAGTGCCCCTGTGTGCTGGCTTGTGCCAGCTGCAGGGACAGCAGTGACCCAGACAGATCGGCCTCTTCCTTTTGGGGCCTGGAGGCAGAGGGGGAGGGCAGATGGTACAGCCACAAGAGCCAAGGGGCCTTAAGAGAAGTGCTGTACACTCAGTGCCTGCAGCGTCTTCCCCCTTCCCTCTCCTTTCGATGTGTCTCCCCTGCCCTAAAGACTAGGCCTCTATCTCCCCCTTTCCCCCTGCTCTGTGGGCCCCAAAGGCAGACAAGCCTGGGACTTGGAACCGACCAGAGGAAGTGGCCTGTCAGCCTGTCCCCCTGCCAACTCTGGGCCTGCCACCAGCATCTCCACCCTTGGCAGACATGGGAACTCCCCTCTCATGCACCCGGTCTTCTCCCCTCCTCCATCTGAAGAGAGGTTGGGGGCCTGGAGACCCCACTGCAGTGCTCTGCTCTTCCTTCCCCTCCTTCCTGGAGGAGGAGGAGGGGGAATGGTCTGTACAGTAGCTCCAAGGAGGAGCCCTCTGGGAGGGAGGTTCATCTTGAAGCTGTCTATTGATTTTTTTGTATGTTGATTTGAGGTGTCTTGGGGGCCCAGCTAAGCTGCATTGCCAGGCAGGAGGAATCAGGGCTGGTTGGCTTGGGCTGGGAGTGGGGGACTGTGCCCCCACCCATCTGAAGTTAGATTCAGACCAAAACAACAAGCCTGTGCTAGAAGGATGTGGCACGCACTGGAGTCCTGGGTGGATGGCATTTTCAGACCCCCGGAATCCTCATGGTGGGGACATAGGGGGCTGAGGTCCCTGATCACCTGAGCTGTGGGCTCAGCCAGGCTGGGCCCTGATCACCTCCAGGGTCACGGGTTCACCAAGGAGGCAGAGCCCTTGCCGAGGGCCACCCAGCACATCTGGTTGCTGAGCCAGGGTGGGGACAGGGGCCGCAGCTCTTCCCTCACCTAGAGCCGCCTCCTCCCTCCCCCTCCCCCTCCCCCGCCCCCACCCCCCGCAAATTCTCCCGTGCCTGAGTAGTTGGATGGCTTGGGTTCCTTGTTCCGTGGGGCCAGCTGCTTGAGGAGAGAAGGAAACACTTGGACAGGAAGTGACCTGACTTGGCTCTTGCCATCTCCCCCACCCCTGCAGAGCGCTGCAGCGGCCCCCAGCCCGGTGATGGGGAGCATGGCTCCCAATGATGCAATGGCATCAGGCCCCATGGCACCCGGCTTCTTCCAGGTATAGCTGGGGCTGGGGCTCCCTGTCTCCCGACCCTGGGTGGGCTTGTGTGGGAGGGTGACAGGCAGGGGCAATGGCGGGGTGGGTATGCCGCTGCGGGCCTCGATAGTGCTGGTGAGGGAGGGGCCATCTGGCCTGGGCCCCGCTGCGGGAGGGGGCGGGGTCTCTGCACTAGGCCTGCGCCTGTGTGTGTCGGGGCGCCTGGGGCCGCACAGCTTGGCTCGCCGAACCACGGGTCCTGCCCATGACCTCCCCCTTTGGGTCCACCCCACCCCCGCCACGTCCCGCAGATGGGGCTAGTTGGCCCACTCTCCTGCCTCCACGGTGTCCCCTCCCCTCCCTGGCCAGGCTCAGCAGAGCCACAGGAAACCGTGGAACTTCGGGTGACCTCGCTCCTCCCAACCTCGCTCCTCCCAACCCACCTGGTTCTGTCCTCCTAGGGCCCCCCCGGCTCCCAGCCTCCCCCCCACAACCCCAACGCCCCCATGATGGGGCCTCAGGTTCCGGTAAGGACCTGTGGTGCCCCGCCCCCTCGAGCACGCACACCCCTCCCCCTGGCTCTTGGGCCCGTCCCACTGCGCTCCCACGCCCCCGGCGCGGCTGGCTGAGGTCTGCCGGCTGGTCTTGGAGGAGGGGGAGTATCCAGGCTGGGGGCCCGGGTGCGGCAGGAAGCGGGTAGCTTTGGGGGCTGAGTAGGTGGGGGGAGGTGCTGATCCCCGGCCCACCTCTTCCAGCCCTTCATGTCACCGCGGTTCCCAGGGGGCCCTCGGCCCACCCTGCGGATGCCGAGTCAGGTGAGAGACGGATGAGGGGAGGGGGGTCAGGAATTGGGCCGGGGTGGGGGCACCCACACTCAGTGCTGCCACTCCCCCTCCGCAGCCTCCCGTGGGCCTACCCGGTTCCCAGCCCCTCCTCCCTGGCGCCATGGACCCCTCCCCACGTGCTCAGGGTGAGTAGGGAAGCTCCCGCTGCTGTCCCCCGCCTCTCGTAAGGATCCCAGAGCCAGTTCCCCGCCGCCCACCGTGCAGGAACACCCCCAACCACCAGCACAGCGCCTGTCCACACCGGGGAACGGCCGCGGCCTGAGCCCTCTTCCTTCTGCCCCCAGGTCATTCGAGCATGGGCCCGATGCAGAGGGTGACGCCTCCACGGGGCATGACCAGCGTTGGGCCCCAGGTAAGGGCTGGGCCCAGGCGACAGGGCAGCTTCAGGGGCTGCCCTCTCTCGGCTTGCCCTCTCACGGCCCCTTTACCTTCACAGAGCTACGGAAGTGGCATGCGGCCCCCACCCAACTCTCTTGCTGGCCCGGGTTTGCCCACCATGAACATGTAAGGCCCTCAGGAACCCCCGGGAGTGTGCCCATGCGGGTCACCACCCAGCTTCATGGGCTGGGTGTGCTGGGGCAGACCCCGAAGCCGCACAACAGCCCCGATACTGTTTACGCCACTGCTGGGTGGGGAAACTCAGGCTCAAAGACCAGTGAGTGATGGATGGGGTTGGGATTTGAAGGCTGGCCTGGCATCTGTGCTTGGTTATTTCTCGGCCAACATCTGCTGCTCTGAGGGCACGTGGGGCAGGCTGGGGGTGTCAGGGAGTGTGTGCTGGGGGGCTGTGTACTGCCTGGCTTAGACCCAGGGTCCACCACTGTCTGTTCTAGGGGACCCGGAGTGCGTGGCCCATGGGCCAGCCCCAGTGGCAACTCGGTGAGTGTCGGGATGGCGTTGGTGTGTGTGTGGGGGGGGGATTAGGAGTGTGCGAGTTGGTAGAGTGGGCGGACTGCTCACAGTTGCCCATCTCCCCAGATCCCCTACTCCTCCTCCCCCCCTGGCAGCTACACGGTGAGTGATGCCGAAGCTGGGACACCCGACCTGGGGGCAGCGGTTGTGGGGTGGCAGTTGGAGGGCTTGTCTCACCTTCTGTGTCTCCCTCTGTATGCAGGGACCCCCAGGAGGAGGTGGGCCCCCTGGAACACCCATCATGCCCAGCCCTGGAGGTACTACAGCTTGGGCGGGGCATAGGGAGGGGTGTGTTTGGGTGAGGCCCTCTCACACCCCACCCCCTCACGTGCTGCCTCAGACTCCACCAACTCCAGCGAGAACATGTACACCATCATGAACCCCATCGGGCCAGGCGCCGGCAGGGCTAATGTGAGCTGGGGCTTGCGGGGGTCGGGGTGGGGGCGGAGAGGTGGTGGCCCGAGGCCCAAGCTTCTCCTCTGCCTGCAGTTCCCGCTTGGCCCTGGTCCGGAGGCCCCCATGGCCGCCATGAGTGCGATGGAGCCTCACCATGTAAACGGATCCCTGGGTGAGTGGGCGGAGTCCCGGGACACACGGACACCCACACACACGCCCCCGCCCAGCTGCTTCGCGAGCCTCGTGCGCCCCCTGGCGGCCCCCTTCAGCCCCTCCGCCTCTGTGCTTAGCCGGCGTTGGGGGCGCGCCCCGAGCTTCTCTGGGCTCAGTGACTGGGGCTGGCAGCGCTGCGGGGAGGGTCCAGTAACTAAACCGGGAGGACGCCCGGCCGCCGGCACTGGCCCACCACCCCAGATCTGGGCCCTCCGCCTGGGACCCCCGGCGGTGCCCCAGTGGCCTGGGCCGAGGGAGGGGGCGCGGCCGCCGGGGAAGTTCGGGAAGGGGTCGGTGGAGCCGGCTTGGCGCGTCTGAGCCGCGTCACCGCCGTCTGTCGGTCCACAGGCTCGGGCGATCTGGACGGGTTGCCGAAGGTGAGGGGGCCGCGCTCCGGCGGGGGGCGGGGGGCGGGGCTGCGGGGTCGGCCCGCGTGGAGAGGCCTAGTCCTGGTTGGGCCGCGCGGCGGTTGGGGCCTGGCCCGCGGGGCGGGGTGTTCCGCTCTGACCGCGGCCGCCCCCAGAGCTCCCCCGGCGCCGTGGCCGGCCTGAGCAACACCCCGGGCACCCCGCGGGACGACGGCGAGATGGCGGCCGCCGGGACCTTCCTGCACCCGTTCCCGAGCGAAAGCGTAAGCGACTGCGTCGACTCCCCCCCCCGCGGCGGCGTCGGGCCGGAGGGGCCTGGCGGGCAGACCCCGGCGGGGCGGCCGGGGGGCCAGAGCAAGACCGTGACCGCGGCGGGCCAGGTGGGGGGGCGGCCGCGGCACCCTTCCCTTCCTCCCGCCTTCCCCCCCCCCCGGCCCCCCCCTACCGCCCCGCCCCGCCCACATCCCACCCCAACCCTGGGACCCGCGGCCCAGGGCGGCCTCCCCACGCATCAACACCTGGTCCCTTTCCATCCCACGTCCACCCCGCCCTGTTCCCCCTTTCCCCCGGGGGCGGGTCCCAGCCTAGGCCGGAACTGAGCCGGCCCCCGCGCGCCACCCCCTCGTCTTTCCGCAGTACTCCCCCGGGATGACCATGAGCGTGTGATGGGGCCGCAGCCCCTTGCCCACTGCCGACCTCGGCTTCTGCCCAGCGCCCCTGCCCGGGGCCAAGGTCCAGGGGCTCGGGTGGTCTGCAGGGTGAGGGTCTGAGGTCACACCGCGGGCAACTGGACTCCCGGTCAAGGCTTGGATGGCTGGGAGACCCCGCGCGAAGGACTCATTCATTTTATAAAAAACGCAAGGACCTCAGAGACGTTCTTTCCTGTATGGGCCCTTCCCGCCATTTCTGTTTTGTCCAGGGGGCTCCTTGGGGGATTTCCTTTCCCCTGGAGAGCAGGGGTGGGCCCCAACAATAAACATAACTCGATTTTGGTTTTTGGCATCTGTTCTCGGGTTTCTTCACTTTGGCTTACAGCCACAGCCTGCTTAGCCTAACCTTCAAGGGTTGTGGTTAGGCAGAGCCCCCCTCCCCCCGGGGGTTCTGGAAAGCCCCTGAGAGTTGGGACAGAGTTTGGAAGGGCAGGTAGAAGTCCAGCTGGTGGAAAAGGGAGATGTGGCTGGTATTGGGGGCCGTTAGGGTTAGGTCGCAGGCACCAAGAATCCACAGGTGTGGCTCATAGTGGCACTCGCTTTATTGTCTGTCAGAAGGGGGCCTGGAAGGGTCGCGTGCTGAGGAGCAATGGGGGCAGGAGTTACAGGGGAGCTGTATGGCCATGGCCTTAGGTGGTGGGCATCTGGGGTGCCTCAGCCTGTGAGTGCCCATAGGCGTCACCAGTACAGCCATTGGGGGCAGTTGGCGCTGATCCTTTCTTGCAAGGCACGGGGCAGGCGGTGGCCACATGCCCAACTTGCTTGAGGCCAGGGCGCTCCATCTTGTGCTCCAGAAGCATGTGGTTCTGCGGCGGGAGCCCCACGCAGGCCCTGAGAGATGGTCACGGCTCAGCGGGGCCAGACCCCAAGACTGCCCTGCAGTCCCTAGGCCCTGTGCACAGCCCCGCCAGTGGACATCTGGGCCATAGGTGGGGATCCCCAAGGTCGGGGCACACCTGAGGATATTCTCGATGCAGCTGCGCTGGCGGAAGAGCGCGTTGACCACTGGGCTGCCCGGTGGCGCAAGCGGCGCCTTGAAGAGGAAGCCAAGCAGCGACAGCACCGGGTGGAAGCTCTGCGGCTCCGGGTCGATGTCCGTGCAGAAGCTCACACGCTGGCACACTTCAGTCAGCAGGGCCAGGTCCAGCATGATGGGCGCGGCCAGGAGTGAGTCCTGTGGGGCCAGCGGGTCAGGAGGTGGGCCGGGCTGGTGGGCAGCCCCACTCCTGCCCCCTCTTGCCCCACACCTCGCACGTGTTGTGCAGCACCAGCGTGTTGGTACCGCCCAGCATCAGCTCCGATGTGTACTCATCCAGGGCACGCTTGCTGTCACCCACGTATGGCACGTACTTGATGACCACCTGGGGGGCGGCACGAGGTCACACGGGTCCCTGCCCTTCTCTGTGGGGAGCACCAACCTACCCCACCCCACCCCTGCCCCTTGCCCCGCCTGCGCCCCACGCACGCAGTGGTCGGGCTCTTCGCCCGGCGAGTAGAGCACTGGGTTGCTGTGCACCATGTCGTCCACCACGCTGCTCTTCGACACCTCCTTGGAGCGGAACTGTGGCGGCGCCGACAGGTTCTGCCCGTCGTTGTTGCCCAGGTGGTTGTAGCTCACGATGGACATGGTCTGCGGAGGCAAGGAGACCCGCGGCAGCTGCAGGCCCCGCAGCACACAAGCCCACTCCTCGGGGTCCACGCCTCCCCCATACCGAGCTGAGCAGCCCCCCAGGCCCACACACCTTGAGGCCAGAGCCAATAAGGAAGTCCACGAGCACGGACTTGACCTTGGTCTGCCCCGACTTGAAGTCGTCTCCACCCACAAAGACACGGCGCTGCCATGCAAGCTCGAGGGCACCAGGCACCAGCGTGTTCTGTGGGGACCCATTGAGGAAGGCGCAGCCCTCCAAGATGCTGGCCACGGCAAAGAGGGTGGAGGGCGACACTTCCAGGCCCAGCTGCGGGCAGAAGCGAGCAGTCAGCACAGAGGAATCCTTGGGGGCTGGCCCTGAGCCTACCCCACCCCTTGGGCGCGCCCACCTGGATGGTGCGCAGCAGGTTCTCAGCGGTGTCATTGAGGCCCGGGACCACTTCACAGAAGCGCTCCGTGTTCGCTGTCCACAGCACGATGACTTTGTCCAGCCCGGCGCTGGACCGGAAGTCGCGGATGTCCCTACGGATCTGCTCCAGCTGGGGGCGGGGGGATGGAGGGGGAGGAGGTTGTACAGGCTCCCCCGACCTCTGGAGGCCTGGGCCACTCAGTTCCCCAAGTGCAAAGTGGGACCTGGACCCTCGGGATGGAAGCATGGGGACAAAAGAGGGGTAACAGGTGGTGGGGAGGGAGGACAAGTGGCAGGGGTAATGGACGCGGGGTGGGACTGCACCTGCTGCGCGCGCGTGCCCGGGATTACGTTGTCGGCGCGCGCGCTCTGGTTAGCTGCGATGAACTCGGGGATGTAGACGGAGGGCCGCGGGCGCAGGGCCTCCATGTGCGGCCACAGTTGCTCCTGCAGCCCCCAATCCAGTACCTGCGCGCGCCGCATCGCCTCCGCCAGGTTCAGCGACGATATGTCCCAGCCTGGGGGGGACCCTCAAGCTCGGCCCGGCCCCAATCCTGGGCCCCTCTAGGCCTCGCCTCCCACACCACCCCCGACCCAGGGCCCCGCCCACCGTCGAACACGAGGTCGTCGGGTGCCACCATGGGCAGCAGCGAGCTGAAGGGCACGAACACCTCCTGGCCCTCGGCGTCCAGACCCAGGCTAACAGTGCCCGCCTGCGTCAGCGAGCCGTAGTAGTTGGCCTCCTGGGTTGGGGGGGTGGGCAGAGGGGACTGAGTGAAGAGTGGGCGTGGCGTGGGCAACGAGCTGGCCAGGACCCCTATCGGCACCCTCAAGCCCCGCCCTACTTTGGGGCACCTCCCCATGGCGCTCCAAGCCGGGGCGGAAGCCGCTCCGCTCCTGAGGTCCCACCCCGAAGCCCTCCCACACCTTAGGCTCCGCCCCCGCAAGACCCCTGAGGAGTTCCCCCCGCCCACCCGCGGAAGCCCCTCCCCGGAGTCAGCCCACAGCCAGAAACCCTGCCCACTGCGGGCCCACTCCTCCGTCGAGCCCCTCCCCCTCCGCATGGATTCCTGCGAAGCCTTCTCTCCGACCGAGCCTCGCCCGACCCCCCACCTTGCGGCCGGTGCGCGTGGGCCAGGACAGGCGCAGTCGGTTGGCCAGCACGGCAGCGGTCAGCGTGGAGCCGTTGTTCCCGCCCCAGCCGACGAGCATGACCCCGAGCCGGGGCACCTGCCGGGCGGTCCGGAAGGTGAAGCGCGTGGACGTGGGGTGCACCTGAGGGCGGGCAGCTCGGTGAGCCGCGGGGCCGCAGGCCCCTCCCGCCTCACTGCACGGCGCGAGTCGCAGAAGTTGGGCAGTTCCCGCTCCCTCCCGGCTCCCTGGTTCTCCCAGTCCCATGGCCCGCCCGGTCGGTCCCTCGCTTACCTTGAGGACGCCGCCCTCGCGGCTGACGCACGTCGTCCGGTACTCATACTGCGCCTCGATGGCCTCGGGGCTGTAGACCACGTCGGGGCTCTCGACCACGAACTCAGTTGCGGCCTCCATCGCGACGAGCTGGGGGCGCGGGGTTGCCAGGAGGTCAGAGGGGACCCGAGAACCGGCCGAGCCAAGCCGACTTCGGTCCTCGGGGAGCCTGCACCCCTCCTGGGGCGGCACTCACCGGCGCGGAGTCGGCTGGCACAGCGGGGGACAGCTAGGGCTCCGGGCGCGCGAACTCCAGAGAAAAGAGCCGCGGCCCCACCCCCGCCCCGCCCCTCGCTCCGCCCGCGCAGGGGAGGAGGGGCGCTCGCGGGGGGGAGGGCGCGCACCGGCTGTGGGGCTCGGGTTCGAGGCCCTTTTGCCCGGAGCTTCCGCGGCTATCTGGTCCCCGGCCCGGCAATCACGTGGGCCGCAGCCACCTCCCACCCCCACCCCCCGCCGCCCCGGCCCTAGCTCGGCGCGCGTGATTAACTTAGGGCCCGCGGCCGCTTATCCCCATTTTACAAAAGAGGACTTTAAGGCTGTAAGTGAGCGCCAGGCCCCAACCACAAGGCAGGAGGTGGAGCTAGGCTAGGAAGCTCATTCTTTGCGTGAGGGGGACCAGGGGGCGCGTCTCTGGAGAAACTGAGGCACGGGACACTGAGGCAGAAGACTAAGTCAGGATTCGGATTTCAACGCGAGACGCTCCTCCAGCCCAGGCTGCCTCCTCCTCCCACTTCCTGAGCAGCAGCACCCACCAGGCACTGCACCCCCACAGGGCTCGCATGGAGCGGGGGTGGCTGCGAGTCCTCGAGTTCTCAGTGTCCTCACCTATAGCAGGAGGGCTTGATAGGGCCGGGCTGGAGTGGGGGCAGGGGGAGAGACTGTTCTGTGGGGAAAGGAGGGAAGCGGATGGGCAGGGCAGAGGTGGCCAGCTGGGAGGAGCTAGGCCTGCAAAGCACTGAGCCCCTCTAAGCGCCCAGTGATAAAGGAGCGTGGGAACTCGGCAGGCGGGCGGGGGCGGCTCCCCCAGGAACTTTCCAAAACAAGCGGCCTCCTCCGGCTGGAAAGTTTCCACCACTGGAGCTGGCCCAAAAGGTGGATCGTTGGGAACGTTTGCAGGAAACTTGGTCAGAGCCTGGCCTTGGGGAGTGGGGGCTCTAAGACTCTGGTCCAGGCTTTGCCCTCAAGGGGCCCCAGTGTAGGGGATTCAGAAGTGGACTTGGGGCACTCCCAGCCAGAGGGACCTAAGAGGCAGGGGTGGGCAGGGCAGACTGCTTGGAGGAGGTGGCTGCTGGAAGGGGTCTTGAGATAATCAGACATCTCCTATCAACGATTTGAAGAGCAGCTGCCCAGGCAAAAACCTGGGGGACTGGTTTCAGGGGCAGATGAAACGGGGCTGGGTGTGAGGGAGAGGGAGGCAGTTTGGGGACCAGGGCAGACCCTCAGGGCTGGGGACAGGGAATTCCTTATAATAAATATTTGGGTTTTGTCCCCGGTTCCTGGCTGGAGATTGAGTTCAGTCACCAATGGCCAAGGGCTTCCCTGGTGGTCCAGTGGTTAGGACTCCGCCCTTCCACTGCAGGGGACGAGGGTTAGATCCCTGGTCGCGGAACTGAAATCCCGCATGCTGTGTGGTGCGGCCAAAAAGTAGAAGAAAAAGAAAAATTACCGATGGCCAGCGATTTACTCAATCATGCCTATGTAATGGAACCTCTGTGAAAAGAACCCCTAAACAACAGGATTCGGGGGAACACATGGAGGTGCTGGGAGGGTGGCCCACCTGGAGGAGTCATGGCAGCCCTGTACCAGTCCCCACACCCTGCTCTTGGCTTCTCCTCCATTCGGCTGTTGAAGTGTTTTCCTAGCACTGTGAGCCATTCTAGCAACTCACCAAACCTCTGAGGGGGCGGGAGGGAACCCCTGGTTTATAGTGGGTCGGTCAGAAGTCTGGGTGGCCAGGGACTTGTGGCGGGTGTCTGAAGTGGGGGCCTGAGCCCCTTCACCTGTGGGGGTCTGATGCTAGACCTGATAATGGAACTGTTGGACCTCCAGTTGGTGTCGGAGAATCTGCGGGAGGCTGTGCCTTCAGGCTGTGTGTGATGTCACAGGAATGGGTACAGAAAGGTCCCCAAAGACCCAGCCCTGGGAAACCCCAGCACTCACAGGACAACCTGTGGGAGGTGCTGGCAGGAGGGTGGTGGGGGCAGAGCGGACCCGGGCGGGATCCCTGGAGGGTCAGTGTTGGGGCAGCTGGGAGGGACGTGGCTGCTTTGATTCCAAGCTGTCAGTTGGTGCTGTAAGGCCATTGCGGGGACCGCCTCGGTGTGTGACACGGGGTGAGTGTGCTGCCTGGCGGTGAGCAGTGAGCGACTGGAGACCCCCGATCCCACCAGACCGCAGGCTTCCGAGGGCAAGGGCAAAGCTGTTGAGGTCACTGCTGAGTGCCAGCGCCCAGATGGAGCCTGGTGCACAGGAGGGGCCACAGGATCCGGGTGCAGGATGTTGTTGTCTGGCAAGTGGCAGGGGCCGGTGGGTGACCCCAAGCCCCTTGGCCACGGTGCAGGTCGTGAGGGTGGGAAGACCCTGCTGGGCCCCTGAGGGACTGGACTCAGGTGCCGTCGGCTCGGGAAAGGACGGTCAGGGAACCGCCTGTGGCCATGGTGCCATGGGGCAGTGTGGGGGCCGTGGGGGAGGCGGGTAGGCAACGCGAGGCTGAGGCGCGGGAGGCCGAAGGAGGCAGGTGTCGGCCCTGGGCCCGGGGCTGTGGCGGCATGGACATCGTTACCCCTTAGAACAGCACGGACAGGCCGCCTGGGGAGCAGGGTACATTCTGCCCCACGGGGCCTGCCTGACCTCCCCTCCCGCGCCCCTCAGATTCCTGGGCCGCCTCAGAACTCAGGCCAAGGCCACTGGCCAGCAGGGCCACCAGGGAGGCTAAGGCCCACAGTCCCTGACCCCTGGACCCCTTTAATCCTGGTCTTATTCTTTGTTTTTCCTTCCTAAAATAAACATTCCCCCCCACTGTGTCCTTGGAGGGTAGAACCTGCCCCCTGCCTTCTCCTCACCTAGAACAAGGGGCAAGGATGGCCATCCGGCTGGTGTCCTGAGCCAGTGGGGCTCCACTGGGCCTTGGTGTCCATGTCTCCATGGGGGGGGGGGGCGGCAAGGGGACCCCCCCCCGCCCCAGCGTGTGGCCCGGGAGGAATAATCAAGCAGTGCCGTTACTCATTGCCGTTTCATCAGTCAGTCACAGCTTGTTACCCCCAATAAGGGCACTCCCTTTGCCCCACGTGGCCCCCCTACTGGGGGCTTTGGCCCTGTGGGAGCCCCGGGGACCCCCCTGCTTGGCACAGCCCACCCTGCACACTCCACAGGGGCACTGCCCTTCTCATACACCGGCCATGGCTCCCCGCTGCTTCCACCTCCCATCTCTTGACATTTCTCACCCATGACCAGGCTGTCTGGCCTCCTGCTCTGGCACCTACCTGCAGGGCCCTCCGCCTCAGCTCAGCCCTCCACCTGCCCGCCTCATTCCCGGGCAGTGGCTCTGGCAGTACTAGCCTGTGCCCCGCCCATCACCATGCCTCCTCACCCCAACCCACCCCAACGCAGAACCAGCCGCCCACCCCCAGGGAATGACACATACACTTCCAGCTTGGGCCGACAGGCTCAGTTCAGTGAAATTTATTGTAGGTTGAAAAAAATCAGCATTCACCTGTTTAGTGTACAAAAAGGACACCAGTTCTTCTAAGAAAACATTAGGAAACTAAAGATGCAGACGCCTTTCAATTGTAACATTTTGGCAAAAGTGAAAAGTTCTTGTAAACACCAACTCCATGGCTCAAAAGTTTTTCTCCACAGTACAATATTAAAAGGAAAAAAAAACAAAACAGTATCAATAAGTTAGACCATATTTAATCAGCTAGAACTTTTGTCCATCAACCCCCAAAGCACAAAACTTTTCTTAGCTTCATGATTCCTTAAAAGGAGAAAATAAACAACAACAATAAAAAACAATGAGGAGGAGGAGGAAATTGAACTGAGAGTCCCTTGAACTGGATCCCAGGGCAGAGGGCCGCTCGGCCCTCCAGGGTGGGGCCTCCTTGAGTGCTCCCATTTCACCTGAGTCTGCACGTCCAGGCTGAGTACAAGATGGCTGTCGGGGGAACCTGGGGTCCCAGGGTCTGCTCAGCCCTTCCCCCTCTCCATCCCAAATGAGAAACAAAACAACAGCTGTTGAAACAGAAAGGATCAGCATCCTCGGCACTCCAGGCACCCCAGGGGTCCCACAGAGACTCTGGGGTGGGGTGGGCACAATGCAGGCGTGCCTGCTCTTTGGGAAGCCATTAGGAGACACCGCCACAGCTCAGAAAACTAGACGTGTCTACGTGAGCATTTCCGCTCTCCCTTGCTACGGCTCCCGGCAGCACCTCCGCCCCCGTGACCCCTGGGCTGTGGGCTGCAACCACCCCCATGACCTTCCCCAGTTGTGGCTTGGCTGAACACGGCTTTGAATTCATGTGAACGCTCGCTTTAGACCCCACCGCGCCCGGGGGTCCCTCACACACAAACACGCACGCCCCCTGACGCCCTGGGGGACATTAGACTAGGCACAGTGACTAAGCAGCAATTGGGGTGTCCTCGGGCCAGCACCCCCAAAATGGGTGGATCCGGCGCCTTTTCCGAGCTCACTCTTGCCCCCGCCCCCCCCCCCCGCCCCCGGCTCTATCGACGCCCCAGCCCCTCCCTGAGTGCAAACCCCGTGGCGGCTCTGCAAAGACGACCCCAGGACCCACAAGTGGGCTGAGGGGCGGGGCGAGGTCAACAGCATGGAGACCACTTGGTCTCAACAGTGCGAAATGAAGAGCAGCAGCAAAGGGGAGAATTGAGAAGACAGTAAAATAAAATCCGACACTGCTGCCGCAGAGCGCGGGCTACAAGCACAGAAACTCCCAGTGACCCCTGACAGCTGAGGGCCTGGAATAGCAGGGCGGGCCTGGTGGCTCCCAGCAGCTGCTCCTGGACCAGCTGGAGTTTTCCAAATAGAGCTGCGGGGGTCGCATTGCCCTGCCCGCCCTCTTAGAGCCAGGGAGAGGCTGTGTGTGAGGGAGACCAGCGTGGGAGAGGCACCCCTGCCCGCCCACCATGGGTTCTCTCCTGGGAGCCCCTGGAGCTCGCAGAAACAACGCCGAACTTCCCGAGCATCTGTAATACTGTAGAAAGGACACAGGGCAGCGCGTAGACCCTGGGCGTCCAAGGAGGGGAGGCACAGGTTTAGAAAAAAGATGCTTTCTCTTTCGTATAAAAATAGACTCAAGTCTCATAAGCAGTAGCTAAAAGTGGCTGTCTTTGTATAAAACTAGAAAAGGCAGGCAGGCAGGCCGGCCTTGGAGTCTTTCACTGACAGGAAGCTGAAGCCCCTGGGGGGCGGGGGGGGGGGGTGCTGGCGAGGAGGTGGGCTTCTTGGGGAGCCCATCTGGGTGGGGAGGCTGCTCAGGAGGTGTGTGGGGCCCTGGGGGAGGTGGACACCCCACCTGGGTCTGTGTGACCTGTGGGCGCCAGGGCTGCAGGGACTCCCCTGAAAGCCGGCGTTCCTGGCTCAGATGAATGCGTCTTCCTCACGTTTATTTTTTCAAATAAATCTCTTGTTTCCTCATCTTCAGTCCCCCTCGCCCCCAGCTCCCCCACCATCCAGAACAACGGTCAGCCCGGTGAGGTGAGCTGGCCTGGCTGGCTGGATGGGGCCTCCTGCCCTGTGGCCTTGAGCTAAGGCCAGGCCTGCAGCTGCCGCTGGTCGTACTCAGCGATGAGCCTCTTGATGTGGGCCAGCTTGCTGTGCAGGTACTCGCAGCGGTGCTTCTCCTGGCTGTAGTTGGTGTTGGTCTGTAAGAGAGCGGCCGGGCTGACACTCACCCACACGGCCAAGGCTGAGAGCCCAACCCGAACTCGAGCTGCCCCGCTTGGCTGCCCCAGGTTCCCACTCGCCCTGCTTGAGGCCTGAACTCTCCATGCTGTGACAGGGACCCCCGCTCCGCCCCTCGGCTCCACCCTGGGAAACGTCACAGCCAGGGTGAGAGGCTGAGGCAAGATAGGTCATGAAGCTTCCACGCTGGGCTGGGGCCTAGCTGGTAGGGAGCCGCCCTGGCACATGTGGCCCTCAGGAACGTGAGCTGCTGTTGTGGAACCACATCGCAGGAGACTGTCAGGGAGCCCAAGGCTGGGAGGCGGAAAGGACCTGGGGCTGTGCCCATCAAACACTGGGAGAGCGGGGGTGGGGGCTGCACCCAAGCTCATACGACAGGCTCAGCTCCTCAGCTGTGACCAGGGGCGAGGGCTACTCCGAGGGCCTGAGACCAGCCCAGTGAGGCCCTTCCTCCCTCCCTCCTCTCCCAGACTTCGGCGCCACTCATCTTGAAACAGCTTCTGACCCCACCCCACCTACCCCCAACAAAGGGATGGAGACTTACCTTCTTGATTTTTCGATATTCCTGTAAAATCTGCCCACGAGTAGTCTGGAGGAAAAACAAAAGAGAAAGCGAACAATGCATTACCTGCAGGACACCCCAACTGAATGTCCCCTTCTCCCTGATAACCTGCGACCTGCAAGGTCACCGCATGCTGGGGGACAATGGCCTCAGCATGGCGTGATGGCGTGAGGAAGCACAGAGGAGGGGCAGGGGGCAGGCTGGGGGATGAGCAGTGCAGGAGGTGGGGGAGGAAGCTGGGCCAGGGGAGCGAGGGGCAGGCGCCCAGCCTCAGGGACAAGCACGAGGCCACGCGGTAGGAGGGGCGGGCTGGTCAGAGCCTCTGGAGGAGGCAAAGAGCAGATGGGACGGCCCCCTTCCCTCGCACCCAGCTGGCCTGTGCACCGTTCAAGGCCAAGCGCAGAGGCCCCCTGACCACCTGGGGAGTGTCCCTGTGGGGCCTGCAGGGAGGAGGGAGGACAGAGATGCCCTGGGGATTTTCTGTCCTAGACCCTCAGAGGCCCCATTTCTCTGCCCCAATCACGAGCCATCTCCTCTGGAAACCCAAGTGGCCTCCACCAGGGGAGATGGACCCCAACACCACGATTAATCAGGGCTGGCCCTGCAGTCGGGTAACCAGCGCTGAAAGGTGGCACAAGGGGGAGGGCTGGCGTCCCAGGGCTGGTGACCAAGCCCCCTGCAGTGAGCTCCCACATGGGATGGCTTGGGGAACCCAGGTGCCCTTGGCCAGAGGAAGAGGGTTGGGGCGGGGGAACCCCAAGGACCCTCCATCCCCTCCCACCCCCCACTGTGTCTGTGACAGCTCTGATGGGCCGTGGGGTGTGGCCTGGCCAGCCCCTCCTGGCTGGGGGACTGAGAATTCTCGTGTGACGTGGGTAGTGGGCTGCAGAGGGGACCCCAGGCGCTCTCAGAGATGGGGACACAGGCACCCCAGCCTGCTGCTCCCCGCTGTCTCCACTGCTCGGAACACCACCCCCGCCCCTGTGGGTCATCTCCCACCTGCGGAGTCGGTCACAGCCGGCCCCACTGCTGAGGACGCTGAGCTCCAGGGACAGGCCTAAACCACTTGGGGAGTGGGAAGGAGGGGCGAGCAGGGCCCTCAGCCCAGAATACAAGGGAACATGCCCGAGGATGCCAGCACCGGGCAGAGCCATTGGATGTGCGTGGGCAGGGCTCTACCTCGTACTCCTCGGAGCCCTGGGAGAGCTGCCGGAGCTGGGCATCGAGCTGCGTGAAGCGCCGCGTGATCTGCTCGATGCGGGCGTGCAGGTCTCGGTACTCGCTATACTCAGCATTGAAGTCGTTTTTGTAGCTCTGGCGCTGCTCCGAGGAGGAGATAGTGGCGTATTTTCTGGAGAGACCAGAGAGAGGGGCAACAGGGGCTCAGGGGGCGGCAGGAGAGAGCCTGGAAGTGCCCACAGCCTTGCGGCCGGCCCCACCCAGGAAGCAGCCCTGACCTCGAGCAGACTGGGCCAGGAATTCACACACATGGCCTGGGGTCAGCTCTGCCTCTGCTAACGTGCAGGGCAGGGGCCGGGAGGGGAGAGGCACAGCCGGCAAGGGAAGTACTCACAGCAAGTAGTCGGGAGTCTCCGAGGTCGACGTGGGAACACTTGAGCTGCTGCAGGTCCCATTTAAACCTACAAAGAGCAAATGCATAACTCCTGAGTCCACAGCTCGTGTGTCCACGGTGAGATCCTCAGAAGGTTGATGCCTTGTTGTCTGAAGGCCCTGGAGGGGACGCTGCGTGCAGAGGATTGCTGAGGCCACGTAGCGGGAGCCAGGACCGGCAAAGGAGGCATGAGCACTGGGCAAGTGCTGTCTGGCTACCTCGGGGGTCCAGCTGCAGCCAGGAGTGCCCTCAGCCCGTGGGAGAAGTGGCGAGGCAGCATGGTGTGTGTCCCCAAAGCACAGCCGTGCAGAGATGGCATCGTGGGTACGTTTTCAGCAAGCACCCCAAAGGACGGATTCATTGCAGGGCAAAGCCTCGGCAACTCGTCCAGAGCCTCTGCCGCCTCCACTGACCTCGTGTAAAAGATCACTAAGCTGAAAACCGGTGACCCCTGGATAATCGAGTCCCAGGGGTATCCCGGGCTCCAGCCCTACAGGACAAAGACAGACGGCCACCAGGGAAAGCCCTGGCTCCTGTCCACACCTCTCCCCGTGGATGGAGTCGCAGGCTCTGCAGGCTCCGGTCCCTGGTCTGAGCCACCCCCTCTCCCCATCCTCCCGTTCCTCACACCAGAGATGGGACTTCAGGATCAGAGAGGCAGCCCCGGAACAGGGCTGGGCTGGTGGCTTGAGAGGCCAGGGACTGTGACACAAGACTGTCCACAGGGCTCAAGGGCTGCCCAGGCTGCAGTCGACCAAAGCTACAGTCCGGTCCTTTTCCCCTGGGAAACTGTTCCAGCTGGCCTCCCCCTCCCCACAACTTAGAAGCAATTTTATCGCTTTGAAGCATATCCTGAGTGCTTATTTTTGTGCCTCTCTCAGAGGGAAGCAGCCCACCCAGTGGATCAGCAGTTTGCTGAGCCCTCCTGTGGTTTTATACTCCAGCGCGAGGTGCAATTCCCACCAATGGATGGAGCCCACCCCCACCTGGGTGTCATCTTTGAAGAGGCTGTGGCCTCCCCAGAATGCAGCCCAACAGGCACATACATGAGGGTTTAGTCTACACTCCCACCACCCACACCCCACACAGGACAGGCCTCCTGGGGTGTTCCGCCTTGAGGCTTAGGGTCAGACTGACCTGGCACCCAAGACACTGTTGGGGTCCAGCCTGTGGCAAACCTTTGTGGTCCCCACTCCTGCTCCGGCACTGGCTGCGTGAGGCTGTCACTTGGCTGCCCCTGCACCAGCCGAGCTGGTTCCCACACCCATGTGTCCCCTCCACTAGCTTCTCCTGTGCCTCCCCAGGGCAGGGGGTGCAGGGACATGTCTGCGAGTTCACCCTGCAGGACCCAGGTCTGGGTGCCAATGAGAGAGGGTGCCCCCAATTCCACACAGGGGTCAGTGGGCCTGAGCTTGGCCTGGCTGAGCCCAAGCCCTCCACCCAGCATGCCAGCCTGCCCAGGAAGGCACCCTCTGGCCACAGGAGGGATCCACAGCCTGAGCAAAAGTCGGGGGCAGGCACGAGGGTGGGCGTAGGACCCAGGAGTGGGCCTGCGGCATAGGGGGATGAAGATGGCCAGAGGGGGGCCTCGAGAGTGGGGGCCACAGGGAGGCTGAGCTGAGCCACCTGCCTGACAGGTGGAGGCCGCCACACCTGTCAGGGTCAGAGGCGATCACAGGGCAGGGCTCCGACAGCAGGGCCAGACTAGGGGGACAGTGTCACGCAGAAGGGTGGGTTAAACAGATGCCCATCCCTCTGGCCCATAGGACATAAGGGCGAGGAAGCTTCCTCAGGGGCTGACCTGGAGCCCTCTCCAGCAAGGCTGGGGGAGCATTCAGAGAACAATGCTATCGTTAACGGTGGGTGGGTAGCTCCTGCCTGCACGTGCCCCCAACCCAGGAAGGAGTCACAACAGATGTTACAGCAGGGGAGTGTGTGGTGTGGTGTGGTGTCGTGTGGTGTGGTGTGGTGTGTGTGTGTGTTGGGAGCTTGGGGACAACATGTTACAGCAGGGGTGTGTGTGGTGTGTGTGGTGTGTGTGTGTGTGTGTGCTGGGAGCTTGGGGACAACATGTTACAGCAGGGGTGTGTGGTGTGTGGTGTGTGTGTGTGTGTGTGTGTGTGTGTGTGTGTGTGTGTTGGGAGCTTGGGGGGGCTTTGCACCCACCCACCTATTACCACTATCACTTGAGCTGCCTGAGAGACGGCTTAAGGTGGATCACTTGGCGCCAGACCCAGCTTCTGGTGCCTCAGTTACCCTTTTCCTTTTCCTTGGGGCCTCTACTCCCTGGGTTGCCTGACCCCAAATGTCACTTTCTCACCTCGGCTTGGGGAGAAGCTGCCTGGAGCTGACGCACACCGGGCAGGACCCAAAGCCATCTGAGCCTTGCGTGTGGGCCGGCCTGGGCAGCATCTTCCTGGCCCCATCTGATGCCCGGCCCCACAGTGCTCCCGCCCAGGGCCCTGCCAGAAGCACACGGCATCCGCTTCTGCCATCTGGGGCAGAATGCGCTGCCCGGCTGCTCAGCAGTTTGCTGAGTGATGTCTCTGTGACCCTGTGTGATGTCTCCTCCCGTGAGCCTGTCTCCCTGAGGAGGAGCCGGATCAGATGGCGTGTGCTCTGGGAACCGGGCCGCCTTCTCCCCTGTGGCCCACCCACAGGTGCTAGGAACCCTAGCGTGCAACAGGGTTGAGGAATACCAGGGGACTTGACGGAACTGCAATGTCCGTCTTCACCGGACCAACCCTGCTCTTCCAGGACCTGCCCTCCAGCCACAGAGGGAGGGGCTGGCAAGCCCGTGAAGGATAGGTGAGGACAAATTTAAAAGCCTTAAGGAGAAGTGGCTCCACCCCATCCAGGAATGCCCCCTGCTGGGAACCCTCCTGAGGAAATAATCAGAAAGCTGCAGCAGGTGAAGTGGCCCCCAAGGCTGCGCCTCTGTTGCCAGGACGTGCTGATAAGGTTAAATTACATGAAAGGAAATTCACAATGGAGTCCGTATTGCTAAGAGAGCTCTCTAAAAATGGAACCAAGAGGCCATTAAGGAAGTGTGACTTGTGCACGTCTCAGCCTAGATGGAATCTGACCTTCTGATGCGATGAAGTCATCTGTCAGAAACTTGTGACAGCCTATCTACTCATCAGACCCCCTACCCTAAAAACACTCGTGACACTGTCTACTTACTGGACCCCTAACCTAAAACAAATATTTTCTGACTTGCGTCAGAGTTAAACCATCCTCACCAGGCAACCTTTAACAAACTCGTGGCTTTTTGTCTTTATAAGCCCGACTCTTTCTCCTCCTCAGAACACTCTTTCGCGCTCACCTGAATCTATGTCTCCTGAACTGTAATTTTTAAGACCTCAAATACACGATTTTCTTATTTGCAGCCTCCTGAATTATTCTTGGGGTTGACAGTAGCCACAAGGGGTGCTCGGCTCAGGTGCCTAGGGCTATAACTGGAGGCGGGGCGGCTCTGGGGGACATGACCCCAGCCCCACCGCCATCCTAGCCCATCCACGCGCCTCCCCAGTGCCCCGGGCCCGAGAAGGTTTCCCTGCTCAGCACATGGCCCTGGGCAGCCTTGCACCCCTCATCCTGCTGAGGGTCTCTCCACTGCCAGCTTCCTCACAGGCTGCAACTGCAAGACCGTGTTCTGGCTCTTACCTTCTGTTGTTCTATGGACAGTCTCCCACCTCCTTCTGGGCCCACCTCCCAAACCCTTTCTCCACAGGCTGAAATGTTCGCCTAGCAGGCCACACCAGGTCCCTGGTGATTCAGGGGCTGCCCACCTCCCTCTCCACCAGGCCCTGCCCCCCACTGCCTTCCCTGAGCCCCAGTCCCACCCTGTTCTCTCTCTGTGTCTGGGACCTCCCCGCAGCCAGAGCTGGGCCCTGGAACTGTTGCTCTCCCTGTGTGATGTCTCCTCCCGTGAGCCTCAGCTCCATCAGGCTCCAAGCCCCTGGCCCCCAGAGCTGGCCTGGTACACACAGGACTGCCAGAGGCTCTCAGAATAACAATGCCAGGGCAGTCACAGACGAGCCGGTGCGAGGACACAGGAGGCAAAGAGGCCTAATGTGCAGGCTGAGCCGAAGTGGGGGCTCCTGGGCAGCCCTCTCGGCACTCTGTGGAGTGAGGGTGGTGGGCATGGGGCCGGTGCTCAGGCTCCTGGTGACACCCTCCTGCAGAGCCCCCGCCCCTAGGCCTGCCTCTTGGCACCTACCCGGGGCGACTGGTGGGGCTCCAAGGGGGCCCGACATCTGGTCTGGCGGCCGGGGCCGGTGCCTGTCCTCAGCCGCCCTCTCCTTGTCTTTGTGTTTCTTGGATTTCTTCTTGGACTTGCCGTGCAAGGAGGTGCCATGGGGCCTGCTGGGCTGGGCACAGTCCGTCAGCAGGGGCAGGCTGAGGCACTCAGTAGGTGCCGGGGCGGCCACTTCCCCACGCTCGCAATCCCGGCCGCTGTGGCCCAGGTCGTTGCTGACGTCGGCCAGGGGGTCGTGGGCCCGTGGTGGCTCCAGCCGCAGGGGCAGGTGGGCGTCTGTACCAGCCAGCGGGCCCGGGGTGGGAAGCAGCGCCTCACGGCCGTGGGGCACACTCAATTTCCCGTTGACTGCAGGCTGACCTCTCTGGGTGAAGTGCGATATCCTGGGTTTCTTGTTGGCCAGAGGGTCGATGAAATCAGGAGGCTGTGGCCGTTTCTGGGAAGGAAAGGAGACAATTTCAGAGGGGAGCCTGTGCCTAGAGTTACTGGGGAGAGGCTGGGCACCGCAGGCCCGGAGGAGACCCAGTGCCCACACGCAAGGCCCACGCTGACCACATGGGGGCGCGCGAACACTAGCCAGGCCCAGGATGCCCAGAGCTCAGCAGCGGCTGCCTGCCCAGGGTCTCAGCTCTCAGCTGGGCCCAGAGGCCACCAGAGCGGAGGCAGGGCGCTGGGTCATTAGTGGACCTGGCTGCAGCCCGGGAGGGCCACCTCTGGGAACCGGTCTAAAGCGTCACTGTGCTCAGCATCTCCCCTGGACGGTGGGGAGTGACAGAGCCAATCTGAGTGACACCGGGCAGCCCCGCAGGCCAGGGCCAACACCTCCAGGCCCCTGGCTACCTGGATCCCCATGGCAACCCTGTGACACGGTGCAGCCTTCATCCCCATTTCACAGACAAGAGCGCTGAGGCCTGTGAGGCAAGGCCAGACCACAGGAATGGAGCCAGGATCAGACCAGGTGGCCCAGGACCAGGGAAGCAGCGGTAGGGAGAAAGAAGGCAGATGGGCAACCCAGGATCAGAGGGAAGCAGTGGGGACGCAAGTGAAATGAGGCCCTCTGTTCTCCACAACGGCCCTACAGCCACAGGGAGGCTTTACGGGTCATGGGCCTAGGCTGGGTGCCTCCGGGGCAGAGGAGGAAGAGGGAGAAGAGGGGCTGGCCCCTCCCAAGCAGGGATGGAGACATGGGACTCATAAGTCAGAGCATGCAGGTGGGTGGGGAGAGCTTTCACCAAACAGCTCGAGCAACGGCGAGGTGAAGATCAAGCCCCCAACAGCAAGGCCCCCCCCAAATGCCCTTCCCGACTACTGACTAACGTGGCCGTGGCCACTGCTCATAGGACCCCACTGGGCCCTGGCTGGGCTGCAGCCATACACTTGATTTTCCAACAGCCCTGGGAGGCAGGAGCGCCCACCATACAGAGAAAGCAGGAGGCTCAGTGTGGTTCAGCAGCCTGCCCTCCCTCGGCCACATACCCACAGGTAAACCAAGGAACCATAACCAAGTCCCAGGCCCAGGACACCCAACCCCCAGCCAGCTGTTCACTCATTCAAGAAAGCTTGCCAGCCCTGAACCGAAAGCCCAACAGGTTCCGTAAGAACCAAGGTCAGGTCAGGCCCACTGGCTCTGGTGAGACCCACCCTCCCTCCCCACCACGCTCCTACCTGAGGGGGTGAGGCTGAGCTCCCATGCTCGCCTGGAGGACTGTTGGCCGCAAGGTCCCCAGGGAGGCCGCCTGAGCTCTGTGGCTGGCACAACTTCCTGCAAAGGAGAAGCAGGGTGGGTTGGAGGGATCCTCGGCAGTGCCCTGTGGGGCGCACACACGCCCACCTGTCCCTGCACTGACACCACGCTGTCCCGTTCACGCCCAGTGATTTGGGGAGGGCCTGACTCCAGAGCAGAACCAGAGCAGGGCTCAGTGTGATGGGCACACCAGGGCCCGGCAGGCAGACAGCAGCCTGAGCACATTCCACCCTGGCTTTATCCACAGCTGCCCTGTGGCCAAGGTCCCAGCCTCACTGCCAGGAGGACTGTCCCGTTGGGTGTTCTGTGCCCAGAGAAGGGTCAGATGACCACCCACTCATCTAGACTCCCATTACCATGGAGACCAAGGACCCATATAAAACTGACCAGACACTCAAGATCCATGCTGTGTCCCCAGGGGAGCTGCTGTCACTGGGGTGCTGGTCCTCACTTTTAAAAACAACTGTCATCCTAATAAACAACACTCACTGCAGAAACAGAGAACACAGAAGAGGACTGAGATGCCCTGGTCTGTGGTGGGAGGGCCTTCCAGATTCAGCTCCCATCGTCCTGGGAGCCCAGGCCACAGCACCTCCATGGGTGGCAGGGGTGGCCACCAGTCCGGCGGGACGCGAGCACAACAATGTAGCCAGGGAAGAGAGAAGAAACACCCCAATGCCTGACACACAAATGGAGGCCCCCGACAGTCACCCCGGCTCGGCGGGGGGGAGGGGGCTCTCCGCTTAGCCTCCTGCACTCCCAGAGACTGTGCGTTTCATGGGAGCCCAGGCAGCTGGCCAGGTGCTGGGAGTGGTGCCGAGGGCCCTCCACGCCCTGCAGGGAAGCTGAGCTGAGGTCCAGGGCCATGTCTGCGCTGCTCTAACCAGTGACAAGCAGAGCCCAGCCCCTGACCAACAGCCACACTCTAGACAACTGCTGCTGTCCCCTCCACGGTGGCCTGAAATGCAAGCAGAGCCACAGGAAAAAGGCCCGAAACATGCAGGCACTTGGGGCAACACAATCCACGAGGCTGAGGGCAAGTCTGCTGCTCCAGCCACACGGAAGCAACCAGAGCTTTCGGTTAAAGACAGAGAACCAGGTATTTACATCTACTCTCTTTCAAGCCCCCACTAAAAAGGCATAAAAGAGAAAGGGAAAAAGAGAGCAACGAGGGGGCTTCCCTGGTGGCGCCGTGGTTAAGAATCCCGCCTGCTAATGCAGGGGACACGGGTTCCAGCCCTGGTCCGGGAGGATCCCACATGCCGCAGAGCAACTAGGCCTGTGCGCCACAGCTACTGAGCCCACGTCTCACAACTACTGAAGCCCACAATGCCTAGAGCCCGTGCTCTGCTACAAGAGAAGCCACCGCAGTGAGAAGTCTGTGCACCGCAACGAAGAGTAGCCCCCGCTCGCCACAACTAGAGAAAGCCCACGTGCAGCAACGAAGACACAACGCAGCCAAAAATAAATAAAATACATTTATTAAAAAAAAGAGAGAGAGAGAAACGAGCAATGATATTCAATGCAGAAGTACAAGTGGTGACTGTCCTATAGGATCCAAGAAAACGGAGTCCCAGGCCACAGAACCCCACGGGCCCAGGATGGGTGCCTCAGGAACCTCAGCAGAGGGGCCCCTGCCAGGCTGTCCCCCCAGAGCCTTGCTCTGGGTCCCGGCCTGCTGTGGGGCAGCAGGGAAGGGAGCCCACAGCATGTTCAGGAGTGAAGGAGCCCAGGCCTTCTCCAGGATGCTCGGGCCACACAGGATGGACAGAGACGTGGCCTCGGGAGAAGAGGAAACAGAGGGGCCTATGGGGGATTCAGAAACGCCTCAGCAGTGCTCCTGAGGAGGCTGAGTTGCCTATGGGAAAGTCCTGAAGAGGCTGCGCACCCGGGCTTCCAGGCAACAAATGTCAGACCCCAAAATAGACAGGAAAATGCATTTGAAAAGAAAGAGAGACTCTGTAAGGGGATGAAAACTTTAAATCCACGAGAAAAGCACCATCCTTAATAGCCTTAGAAAGACACAGAACTTAAATACACATTTCTCCAAAGAAGACATACGAATGGCCAATAAGCACATGAAAAGATGCTCAACATCATTATTCATCCAGGGAAACACAAATCAAAACCATGATAAGATACCACTTCACACCTGCCAAGATGGCTAGAATCAAAAAAATGGAAAATAACAAGTGTTGGTGAGGATGTAGAAAAACTGGAACTGTGTACTGCTGGTGGGAATGTAAAATGCCGTGGCCACTGAGAAAAAGTCTGGCAGTTCTTCAGAAAGTTAAACACAGGATTACCATATGGCCCAGCAATTCCACTCCTCAGTGTATATTTGAGAGAACTGAAAATCGATGTCAGCTACATTCGTGTCCTGGTACATGAATGCTCATGGCAGCACTGCTCATAATCATGAAGAGGTGGAAACAATCCAAGTGTCCATGGACAGATAAATGAATAAACAAAACGCCCACACAATAGGATACTACCTGGCCATAAAAAAGAGTGAGGCTCTGACACGTGCTACAGTGTGGACGAAACTCAAAAACCTAATCCAGGTGAAAGAAGCCAGACACAAAAGGCTGGAGTACATAATCCCATTTATATGAAACATCCAGAACAGGCACATCCATCAAGACAAGAGGCAGATTAGTGAGGCTGGGAGAGGGGGAACGGGGAGTGACTGTTAACGTGGGGTTTCGTTTTGGGGCGACTGCTTTGGAACTAGAGAGAAGTGGTAGCTGCACCTTGGGAACTAGCAACAATGGCAAAAAAAGAGACAGAGGGAGAAGCTGAAGAAATCTTCCAAAAGTAGAAGAAATTAAAAGAAACAACAGGGAAGACAATGGTGAACGGTGCAGCACAGCCCCCAGTGGCAGAATGAGGAAGGGCGAGGGAGGACAGTGAGGCCTCTCACAACCACGCCCAGGACGGGAAGAAGGACGAGGCAAGTTTTCAGACTGCAAGGGCTGGGGCGCCGGTCCCAGAGCACCCGCCAGGCCATCCTGTGACCATGCAGATGGATACAGGGCCAGGAAGGGAACCTCCGTGGCTTTCCGGGGTCCAGGTCTTCAACATAGAGGGAAAGTTCCTTCCAATCTGGAAGACTAGACTTCGCCAACTGCCAATTCAGTGTGACGACCACCCAGGCGTGAAGATAGGACAGATGGACCTCCCAAAGCCCTCTCCTCTGAGAGATGCTCCAAGAGCTGCGTCCCTTCAACCCCAGGGCAGAATCACAGACCCAGGAACAGAAGGACCCGCAAGGGACGGGGGCAGCTCCCGGTGGAACCCCTGATCCCCTGATAGTGATAAAAGGCCACGGGACAACCACGGGGAGCTTGGGGTTGGACATGAAGGACACAGAACGCTGAGCAGAGAAAGTAACAACTCGGCCAAGCAGGTTACCAACTCCAGGGAAAGCATGATGCGTGCGAGACGGACTGAGGCTCGGGTTGTCTAGGCTGTGCCCTGGGGGAGGTGAGGCCAGGACACGGGCAGGCCGGGGTGACTGATTTCAGGGCCAGGTGGAGTTGAGGCCTCATCCTGCACTGCGACGTCCACAGACTCCTCCTGGGACAGGCCAGGCCCAAGCAGCTACACACGTGGGGACTAAAAGCACAGAGGAAGCATCCAGGTCAACAGCCGAGATGCTGGGAGTGCACGTCTGTGCAGAGCAAAGCCACGGGGGCCCAGGCAGACCCTGGAAGCATGAGCATGTTTAAGTCAGGTACGAGTTTAGAACAAGCTGTAGGAAAAGGAGGTGTTATAGCCCCTGGGGTGACACAAGTCCCCACACCCTGCCTGTAACAACAGAAACACCCCAAGATCCTGTTTTTTTCCTTCTTGCCGTGAGACCACAGCATCAAGACCTGCTATAACTGGGGCTTTCTTCAGGGAGGGAGCAACCTAAAGAAAAACAAGTTGTGCAGAGGGGCGCCTGGAGAAACCTTCTGTGTGGCTGCGGGCATCAGGGGTGTTGACCCTGCCCTCTGCGCGCCAATCAGTTCACGCTTCCAAGGGCAGTAGGAGCTGTCGGCTTCCCAACAGGCTTCCGGCGGCGAGGCTGCTCTCCCAGCGGCCCACGCAGACGGAGAGAAGAGCATCCAGACAGCCCAGAGTGAAAACAAGGGAGGAAGCGTGAGCTTGGCATTATACTGAGCTCCAGAGTCCGCATCCCTAGGAACCTCCCACCTAACACCCCTCAAGATTCAGCCCAGGCGCTGTTTCCTACAAACCACACCCATTCACATGCAGACAGGCTGCTTGCTCTCGGCCACACCCCTTCCCGGGAGCTCTGGGAGGCCAAGACGCTTGGGGTCTGAGATCAGCGAGAGGCACCCAGTGAGAGGCTCTGAAGGAAGGAAGAGTGGAAGCAGCCTCAAGGTGCCCCCCCCATGTGCCCCTGGCCACCTCAAAGCACTAGGGTGGGTGTAAGTGACTATTTCAACCCTTTGCCAAAAAACGTGATAGATGTGAACACCTGCAGGAGGTGACTGCCTACCCAGGATGTGCTTTGCTGGGGCAACAGAGGACCCCCAGAGAGGGCAGTGGGGGCCGGGGGGGCACCTTCTGCCGAGACCGTCTCCTCTCAGCCTCCCTGAGCACCCAGAGACCTCCAGACAGCCAGAGCAGTGACCCCGGGACAGCAGGTGAGTGTCCCGCAGGGCCAAGGAGGAACTCAGGGTTCACCTAGACCGGCCCCGACTCAGCTCTGCTTTCCAGACGCAATTACTGCTTTAAACAGCTAAACTTAAAAAAAAAAAAAAAATCAAAAAAACCAAAAAACCCCCAAACCCTTCATAAATAGCTCCAAGTCCCTGAGAAATCACTTAAGGACTAATTAGCATATCAGGCTGTTCTGAACAGCACTTCACTTCACAGCCCGGGCTCCGGAGCCAGGCATCAATTGAGAAGGAAATCATTAATTGCTTGCCTCAGATGGGGGCCTACTCACCCACTTCTCCCTAGAGCTACCGTGGCCACTCCTGACTTTGGGTCCCAATTAACCAGAGAGGGGATGCATTTAATTAATGCTGCTTAATCTTGTCTGTGGGGAGTTTTGTTTTGTTTCTCTCTGCTTCTCGTCCTTGAGAGGCTCTTTTTAAGGAAGAGGGCCCGCAGCAGACGCCTGTGGGGATGTGCAGGTTTTGGAAGCAACCTTGACAGGAAGGGCAAGAGCGGGCAGAAGGAACGGTCTGGGGCCTTCTGTCCGGGCATTCTGGTGTTCAAGATGGTGACTCACACCCTCCACCCCACTCGGTAAGGACTGGCCTTTTCCCTACAGGAGGACACGGTGGGCCACCCAGGCAGTCTCCACAGACCCCTCCATCCTGCTTGCGGGCCCTGCAGCCTTTGGGGCCAGATGAGGCCCCCCCAGCATCCTTGGGATGAGATCTGCCCCAGGTCCAGGAGCTGGGAACTTGCTCAGGGATAGGGAGGCAGTTACCGGATGAGCATCCGCTTCAGCAACTTCTGGTCCCCCTCCGAGTAGCCGGGCCAGTCCTTCTGCACATCCTTGTACACACAGTCCTTCAGCGTGCACGTGCCATCCTTGGCATTCACGTTGGCTACCTGCAAGACAGAGCTGGTGTCACCTTGTGTGAAGCCCGAGAGAGACAGGTGTTCCTGAAAGCATCTGCGAGGGGGCAGGGAGAGGCGGAGACAGACGTGAAAGGGGAAAGAGGACAGCACACTCCCTCCCCGAGCCAACACCTCACCCTACAGCTCCCCTGCGTGCCAGCGCAGCAACCCTCGGGGTGCAGAAGGGTCAGGGCAGCGGTCCATATATACACGTCTTACAGCTGCTGGAGGCCAGGTTGGCTCCAAAAAGGGGAGGCTGCCATCTATACTCCCAAGACTCCATCACCAGCCCATCCCCCTGCTATGGACTGAACCATTTTTGTCCTCCCAAAGTCCACGTTAAATCTTAACCCCCTTAATCTGAGGTGATGGTATTCGGAGGTGGGGCCTTTGGGAGGTGATTAGGTCATGAGGGTGGAGCCCTCATGATGGGGTTAGTGTCTTTATAAAGGAGAACCCAGAGAGCTCCCTCACCCCTTCCCCCCTGTGATGACAGTAAGAAGGCAGCTGTCTATAAACCAGGGCGCATGCCCTCACCAGACACCCAATCTGCCAGCGCCTTGATCTTGGACTTCCCAGACTCCAAAGCTGTGAGAAGTAAATGTCTGTGGTATATAAGCCATCCAGTCTATGGTATTCTGTTACAGCAGCCCAATGGACTAACATACCCGCTCTCGGATTCAGACCTCCTGTGGCAGAGTCGGCCGAGACTGGGGTGCTCGGTGAGTGGTGGCTCCAGGGGCCAGGCTGAGCCCACCTTCCCTGCAACCAGCCAGCCCTGCTGCTGCTGGTTAACAAAAGCTGAGCTTGTCTCCAAGACTCTTTGCGAAGCTGGATTTAAAACGTTTGCCGTAAGATGCTTGACGGAATTCAGGCCCCTGACCTGAAGCGGGCACTTCCCTGAGTGTCTCGCTTGGGCACCATGGTCTCCAGAACACGCGTGTGTAGCCATGTGGCTGGCACGCTGTTTTTCGCTATCACTGAGACTACAAGTTCTCCACATCACAGCAGTTTTCACAAGGAGTATTTTTTAATGGTTGAGTAATATTCCACCAAGTGGCTACACTGTGATGTACTCAAACGTTTCTCCTTTGTTGGATGCTGACACCGTTTCCAGTTTCTCTGTAGCATAAACAGATGTCACTCGTGCAGGTTTTTCCATGCTGGTGATGGTTTTCTTCAGCCAGCTTCCCGGAAGTGGGATTAGTGGGTCAAAGGCTCTGAACATTTTTATGGTTCTTGATACGTTTTGCTAAAATGCTCTCCGGAAGAGCCACCCACCCGTCAACACTCCCACCAGGAAGATGGAACACCTTAAATCTTTTCTGTTTTCCCAGAAGGAATAGAGAAGGCGCCTTTGAGCAGTGTGGTTTTGTTAGTGCTGTTCATCAGAGTCCCTGGTCACTTGCGGGGGCTGGAAATGAGCATCCTGGGTGAGGCACAGCCCCCGACACCTTCCCATCCCCAAGCTGGCAGGGGTCCTCCTGCCCCCCACACCGCTGCGGAGAACAAGTTGGGTAGTAAACACAGAAGCACAAGGCAGCTGGGGCAGTTTAGGAGAAATCAGAGCGGGCACGAGGAGGATGCTCTACCCCAAGACACTGGCTGGGCCACCCCCTAGGAGCTGCCAAACCCAAGTCCACTGGAGAAGCTGGAGCCCAGTATGGTGCCTCTCTGGTCCCAGGAAAGGACCAGGAGCAATGAGAATGTCACAGGGGTTAAAAATGGAGCAGTGCCCCAGGCAGGCCTAAGTCAGAACCACCAGACCCCTCTCTCTCCAGAGAACTGAGCCCGGCATCCCTGCCGCGTCTGAGGGCTGCTCAGTGGGTAAATCTCAGGTGTAGTCAAGTGCTCGGTCAGCTGAGGGTCACATTCTGCATTGTGCTTTTTATTCTGGGCACAAACAGGACAAGATTAGAGAGCGGGAGCAAGGGCATTTCTAAGAACGCTATACCAGGGGCTGAGGGCCTGGCTGGATGGCAATGCAAGCTACGGGCACAGCCAGGGGTGGGCGTGGCTGCCGCACTTGTCTCCAGTCTTGGCTCATGTCTGATGCCTCTGTCCAGCTCCCTTCAGCCCTGCTGCGGTCACCCCGTGCTGCAGGAGGCAGCTCTGGGTGGCCCCCAGCCCAGGGAAAGGGCCTCCCACATACTTCCCCCAATTTCCCAGGGGCAAGGCCGGCACGCGACTTTCCAAGGAAACGAGCGCCCTGGGAATGTTGTTCCTGGTTCTAGAGCTTTCTGGGTGCTTTGGCAAGCCCCTTTGCCAAAGAAAACTTCTGGGCTCCAGAGCCATGCATCTATCTTCTAATAGGCCCCGAGCCAACTCCTAAGCTTGCAGGGAGAAACAGTGCTGCTCAGTTCTTGCCAGCATGACCTGCACGTGGGGGACAGCGGCTCAGGAGGCCAAATCCGCACAAAGGCACCCAGTGAGTGGACATGGGCGCTCCTGACAGAAACGTGAGTCTCTGGTGAGCACCTCAGCCCTCAGGACACAAGAGGATTCTCCTCGGGTGAAGGATGGGGGAGGCACCCTTCACCTGCTCGCTCTGTGGATGGGGCCCAGCCCCTGCCCAGACCTGCATCTGCGCCTCGGAATGCAGGGGAATGTCACAGAGGCCTCTCTTCCCTCTTCACCCGTTCCCTTTGCCCTGAACTCTCGGGGGGTAATGGGTAACACAGGGACCCCAGCCAGAGCACGGGGGGATGAGAGCCATGCCGACATCCTCCCAACAAACGTGCTGTGTGGTCACAGCGGCCTTGGACTGCACTGGGGATGGGGAAGAGAAGTGCCCAGAGGCCTGCTGAAGAACTCGGTAAATCTGAAACTCATCCTCAGACATAGCTACTGATGGTCACGGCGTGTACTTTCTGCTATAGGAGGCACCATCCAAGTGTCCAGAGTATCTGAGGCAGGGCCATGCCTCCTCCTCAGGATGCTGGCGTGACTGCTGCTGGCTGTGCCATCCTCACAGCGCTCTGAGGTGGCCCATCCCCACTTCATGGCAAAGTGGTATCCACATGGCCCAGCTGATGTGGTGAAGCCGGAGTGAGCCACTCACCTTCTCAGGGGTCCTCAAGTTGCCTCCTCTAGGGTAGGGCCTCAGGAAGGTGCTGGGGCCACCGCCCTTGCTCCAAAGCCCCGGTTGCTTAACAGCAGGCTCCACCTGCTGCCACCACGTTCCTGCCCGCTTAGCTCTTGACCCCAAGAGAGGTGCTGTGGTCATGCCCCAGCCACAGATGGAAGCCTGAGGGCCCAGACATGAAGCCGCTTGCCTGGAGCCACAACTGATGAGCAACAAGGAGGCCCTTGCTGTCTGACTGTGAAGCCCGAGCTCTTGCTAACTCATGCTTGCGGGTTCCTCAGACTTCGTTCAATTCTAAAAACCTTGTGCGACTGAAGTCTTGGATCCCCTGTGCTACGCGCACTGCCTGTGTGTCCGCAGCTGGTAAGGAGGAGGGCCCTGGACAGTGAGTGCCACATGCGCAGCCCAGGCCAGCCCAGGGCAAGCACGCACCTGCTGGAGGAGGCCGTCCAGTGCGTCCTTGTCCGCCTGGGCCAGGCCGTCCTTCTGCAGCCTCAGCAGCAGCTCGGCCTTCCGGTAGGGCCTCAGCGCCAGGAGGTGCAGCACCCGATCACGGAAGGGCCTCTGAGACACCCCGCTGCCCCCGCTAACGCTGCCAGCGCTGGTCTTCTTGATGGCGCTTGCCAGGTTGATGGGGGTCGCCCGCTTCCGGGAGGGCACAGCATCCACTGCCCCCGGGGCCGGTTTCCGAAACTGAACCTTTTTGCCTGCAATAAGAGCCAGGCATTAGGGACTGGAAGGGGTGAGGGAGTGGCCACCGTGTCCCACTGCCTGGGGCCGACGCCAAGTTCCTGAGTGAGCTCGTGGACACCCGTGGATGGCCGATGGCCGACAGCCCCAAGCTCTCACTAAGCCCAAGAGGAAGGCAATTCAAGCCTCGTCCAGTCCCACCTGCTCAGTGGGGCCCTTGGGCGGCCGAGACTGCCACCTGCTGACCACAAACAGCTCAGTGGGCACTTGCAGGGCCACACAGTCTCAGAAGCAGGAGCTACAGGAAAGAGAAGCCGGCTTAGAGCCTTAACTGACTTCATCATGGGCAGCCTACATCCTGGGGACCCAAAACACCTGACCCATATGGGGAGAGGAGGCTGATGTTAACAAGGGAGTCCCATAACTGCCAGAGGCAGGCACCCAGAGGCTGAACTCCACAGCACTATGCTGGTCCCACAGGATCCGTCATTCTTTTTTATGAAAAAGAAGAAGGAAGATAAAGGCGTCAGGGCCACTTGGGCAGCTGCTCTAGAGACCCCAGGGTGTGAGCAGCTCCCCAGCTGTGGCCCTGGCAAGTGCTCCTTGGGCAGACCCGGCTGTGCTTGGAGGCCCGGGGGCAGCAGGCCGATCCCCCACCCTCTTGCTGCAAACAGAGACGTACAAGGGGATCCTCCACGGAGCCTCCAGCACTGCTCTCGAGGGAGGGTGCTTCCACTCCTAAGTCATTAACTCCACCTTGGACGGCGCTCCCGCCACTGCAGGAACGAGGACTGCTGAGCAAAGTCAGCGCACATCTTGAATTCTTGGGCCAGAAACCTCTCCACGACGACTTCCTTTTGCATGTATCCCTCAAATCTGATTTGTCAAATGAACACAGGGAAGAAGTGCTTTTAGAATCCTCAGGGCCAGACTTCGTCCCCAGAGGACCCATCTGACGGGCCGACATGGGGTGGGGGGAGAGGCCTGACACACCCAGGACGTGCACGTCGGTGGCTTAAGAGGCCAGGACACGAGCGTTTCCACCAGAACGTAAACTACTGCAAAAACCTTCATTGTACCCGAAATGGCACCGTAACATGAATTTTGGACCAAGTTTTTGGCTGAAAGACCCACCCAAAATTTATTCAAATGTGTACAAATGTCCACATTTGCATCTTGAAGCAAAAGCAGGCTCTGAAGCCCTTTTAGATTCTGGCTGGCACCTCTTGGGCAGCTTACGGCCCAGGGCCCAGGCTCCCTGGTCACTTACAGCCACATCCACTGGGGCCCAGCGCTGACAGGCAGGACAGATTCCTGCACCGTCTGGGGTTTCATTCAGAGCCAACCCCACTGCCAAGCAAGGAAAGTCGCATGCTCTTTGGAGCAATGTGAAACGCTCTTGCTTTTCCTTAAAGAAGAAAAAAAACCCCAAAGCCATCAAGTTCTCCCTTGCTGTAAGCCGTTTCACACCTCTCTCAGGGCTTTCTTGCCTGGCAACGCATTCCAATGACTCCTTAGCTCCATCTGCATCCAGGAGGCGGGAAGACTACAGCAAGATGACGGGGCTTTCTAAATGGATAAATAGATAGTACTCCTCTCCCTGTACTTTTAACGTTGTCAGTGTCTCGGCTTCACCGAAATTGTTTCCAAGCAGATGCTAAGGGGCCAGAGCCTTCCCAGTGAACAGGGATCAGTGTGTTTCCTTCCTGGTCTCCACCCTACGGCCCCTCGCTGGCCCCAACACGGCAGCAGGCCGCCCGCCACAGGGTGCATCTCGTCATCTGCACCTTGCCCCCGCCACGTCGGTCTTGGGAAGGAGACACCTGGGCAGGTGAGGGCAGGGGTGGCAGCTGGAGGACAGACCGAAGCTCTGGCTTCATGTAGGGTGAGTCTCCATGATGGGTAGAGGTCCCTGAGGCTACAGCCTGGGAGAGGAGCCCTGAGATTCAGAATGCCTGGAATTCTCGGGTCCCTTAGTCCATCTTGGGTTCAGAAGGCAGCAGATGCCACCCAGGAAGGACCTTCCATCCTGACCCAACACTGACCCAGCTCATCCTACCTCTGTCAACCCGTCACTCCCGCTCCTGGTCTGGATGGGCCCTGAGTCTCTCCTGCTCCCCCGACAGCTGCCCAGCAGGTGCAAGGCCCCCACAGGTGGAGCCCCAGGCCCTGATCCTCACCCAGGTAACGGCCTCCGGGCTTGATGACGATGGCGCCTCGACTCCGCGTCTCCTCCTCAGCCTGTGCCAGGCTCTGCCGCGCTTTCTGGTAGGAGTCATCGGTGGCACACACCGTGATTTTGTCCTGGATGCTGCCCAGGCAGTCCAGGTGGACATCCCCATGGCTGCAAGACAAGGGGCCAGAAGCCGGGATGAGCACCTGGGATGACCAGGAGAGATGGTCACCACCCCCATGTCCAAGAAATGGGGCTTGGTGCTGACTTGGGCAACAGGGTTTCTTCAAGGCACATCTTGACCCGAAAGAAACAAGGGAACCCAGGTCCCTGAGCCACAGGTGGCACGCCAGGACCTAGACCTGTGCCCTGGACACACTGTAAGGAGTCAGGGTAGCTCACTTGAGAAGGGGAAGAAGGGGCGCTGGGGCTGGAGGTGGTGGGTAAACATCTGTACAGCAGGCTGCGGCAGGGGACGCCACAGTGGAAGTCGGGGGAGGCGGGTCTGCCCACTGGGAGACCTGAGGCAGCCTGGGCAAGGCTCACCTGGAGACGTACTGCTGGATGCAGTCAAAGCTGCCCTGGGGGCTGTCACGGCCGATGTTGGAGAGGTAGAAGGAGAACGTCCGCGGCTCCGTGGGGCAGTCAGGCTGGGGGATGGAGATGTGCTGCGTGGAGAGGGGGGGACATCACCGGTAGGTCCACAGCACAGAGGGGACCACAGGATGGGCCAGCACAGGACCCAGGCCCATCCCTGAAGCATGCCCCTTACAGTGGGAATGTGCAACCACATTCCTTTGAAACGCACCTTTGTTTTCCCGACAGTGACAGGACCAGCGTGTCACCACGGACAGGCTGCTGGTGGGTCCTGGGTTCTCATGCAGTGGCAGGGGGGTGGGGTCCTATGTCTGGTTTCTAAGCAGCAATGGCAACTCAGTCTGAGGAGCACAGAGCACTCAGCACACAACCAGAGGCAGGGACCCCACCCCAAGCTGGGCCATGACTCAGTTTCCCCACCAAACAGGGCTGATCTGGTTCAGGACAACCGTAAAGATGAGATGAGACAAGATGGGTGGGCGTCAGCAGCGGGCAGGGCATGCTGAGAGGACGAGATGTCCTGACCCGCACTCCTACTTAGCAACGCCCTCTCCACCTCCTCCAGGCCAAACACTGACTCCACCTGGGTGTCTGTGAATAAGGCAGGCACGGGCCCCGAGGGGCTCACAGAGGGGCAGCACTTGCCCCCAATCAACCATGACAGGGGATGCGTGTGCCATGGTTTATGTAACCCCAACTTCAGAGAGCACCACTGTAGCCTAGCGAGGCAAAGCCACAGCCGCCAGAAAGAACAGACAGACGGCCTGCCTGAAAGACAGACAGACAGCACTAGTCCTGGCCGAAGTGCAGGGCTCAGCGTAGGCAGGACATCCAGAGGCCACTTTATTCCAGGCCGACCCTCTGGCCCCATGCCCACACGGGGTGAAGGCCAGCAGCTGCTGAAAAACACAGACAGGAAAACCTGACATTCCGGCTGCCAGCCCCTGTGCAGGCAGTGGAAGGGCCTCCAGAACCCATCACCAGAGGTGACCAGCCTTAAAGTAATCCCTGGGCTTGAGCACAGGAGCCCATCACAGCTAGGCAGACACACAAGGTGGGGTCACAGGTGGTCAGCAAGAAGGGGCAGCAGGCCTCGTTCCTGGGCCGTCGCACCAGCCCAGCAGGCCAGGGCGAGCGTGTCTCCTCTTTGCTTGTGTGAGGACGCTAACGCGCCTCACCAGCACTGGACAGAATGCGGCTCAGGGCTGAATCCCCCTGCCCTGTGCCCAGCCGTCACGTGTGACTGCAGGCAGCTCAGCCTGTCTGAGCCTCGTCCGTGAGAGCGAGGACACGGCAGCTTGGGCCACAGGGAGGGATGCGGCTCCCCTGCCCCAGCCCTCAGGGTGGTGTGTAGACCCATGAGGGAAGCTGGGAGGTCACACAACCCAGGGCTGGCTCAAAATGCTGCAGGACCCCCTCAATGCACAGCCAGTCCCTGCTCCAAAGAGAGGCCCCCGCCGTGCACACTGAGAGCCAAGGCGTCACAGAGTGGCTCCCAGGCACAGCCGCTCAGGGCAGGAAGAGCCTGGCCTGGGGGAGAGGGACAGTCCGCACCAGCCGTCCAAGGACTGCAAATGACCTTGGGCCAATGATCATCCCTGTCCCCCACGTCCCCGCCAGGATGAATGCTGCCCAGGAGAAAGGCTGCCCCGTTGGCCCAGCTCCACCCGGCCACCCAGCTGGGGTCTGTCCAGCACTCCCTCCTGGCCCTCCAGCATGATCCTGTCAATGCAGTTCGGGGGCAAGGCCCCCCCCAGCGGGGGGGTGAGGCCAAAGTCCATGGAGGAGACCAGCAGGGTGGCAATGCCAGGTCGGCCCTGGCCAGCCACGCAGGCCCTAATCTCAACACAGACACCTGTTTCTTTATGAGGGTCAAAAAGAGATGGAGCAGCTCACACTCAGCATCTAAAAAATTCAAACCCAGACTGCCTGCTATCACTCACCTCGGGCAGGAAAACACACATGTATACACACACACACACACACGCTCCAGTGCGTGTGCAGCATCTCGTCCAGCACTAGTAGCCACCCTGTGTTGTCTGCTCGTCCCTTTGCAGATGTGACTTTTGTTCTCCACTATAGAAGTAACTGAAAACCCAGCACTCATATGCTTCTGAGGGTCACTGTGGGAGATGCACCCGCAGCCAGGTACACACTGATGCAGTCGCCCAGAATGCGGCAGGAAGACTGTGCACCACAAAGTCAGAAAAATCAAAAGGCACTTCCGATGGAGCCTGAACCCCAACACGGGTGGCTCTTCCTCCATCCTGACCTTGATCCTCTCCCCTCGCCACATCCCGGCTCTGGCAGAGACCAGGCCTCCCCAGGTGGCATTTTTCCATCTCAGTCTGCTCAAAGGGCAGTGGCTGCCATGGCTGCCACAGTCCCCATCAGGCTATCGCCCCTACGAGGAAAGGAGAGGGTACGCACAGCACGAGTCCTGATGCAACCGTGCTTCTCTCTGGGCAGGGGTGTGGTGGAACCTTCAATGTGATCCTTTTACCCTGTGAGAACCTTTTCCACATGGGTATGTATGGCCACTTCCAAAATCCTGGAGGCGGGGGCACAGCACAGAGCCCAGAGGACGGTCTGTGCTGCTACTGGGGCTGCAGGACGGTGGGAAGGGGAGCTTGCTTGGAGCCTGGCACTGGAGGTTCTTGAAGCCCCAGGCCCTTCCCAGCTCTGTGGCACCACCCCCTATGGAATCCTCTGGTTAACAGGCTGTTTTGCTGCTGGTTAACGATGCTGGTTAATGGCTACCAGTCGCTGGAAACCAGCAGGGAAACCAGCCAGCTGGGCACGAATGGCTCAGGAATGCGCGGCTTTCTCTGTGACAGCGGAGAGCTCGACACATTTTCTGAAACTTGGGCCCCGCTTAGCAGTACGTGTGCCTTCTGGACCAGGTCTCAGCTGCCACGTGGCCCTCAGCTGGCCCGAGCATGGCAGGTTTGGGTGCATCTGACGTTAGCCCCAACTCCTGGTTATGGGGAGGCAGAGGGAGTTGCCATGTGTCTGTGTGCACAGACGAACAGATGGACCTGGAGCAACAAACAGCCTTGTCCCATCCCAAATGGTCCTGGGCACCTGAGGGACTGACATCCGCCTCTGAGGCCTAAGGCCCAAGAGGGGGTGTTGGTTCCGCTGCGAGTAGGTCGAGTCCCTGCCAGAGCCCTTAAATCAACCCCCTTTGAAATCTGTCCCAAGTCAGGCCGGCAGCCCTCCCCCAGACCTGCGGGGCCTGGCCTGTCTGCGGTGCAGGTGGGAACTTCGACGAGACAAATCAAGTCCCGAGCTGGGTGGGGGATAAATGGTGGGGAGCACTTGGTATTCCAGTCAGGTAAGAACAAGACAAAACAGGCACACACAGGAACCAAACTGACGAGCCAGGCTCTCTCCAGCCAGAGGGGTTTTCAGAGAACGTTTGTTTTCATTATCTTTCTTTTCCAGGGAACCCTCAGAATAAAATATATTTTGGGTAAAGAGTTACTACTGCGCAGCTAAATACAACTCCTAAGAGTTGTAGTGGCCTCTTCCGCCCACTGGGAGGCTAGCTTCCTCAACCCCAGACCCAGGGCGCTTTCTAAGCACCTATTCCCTTCTCGAGAGCCACTCCCCGCACACTGTGGGCCCTGGGAAGCGGGAGTGCACAACGCCCGCCCACCTGCGCCCGCCCCTTCCCGGGCTTTCCATCCCCGTGACACAGCAACAAGCACCCCTGTGGCTCAACCTTGCACACATCCCTAATGATTCCCGCAGAGTTGGCTCCTAGATCACAGAGACACCAGTCAAGGGCCCTTGACAAGTGCCACCAAACCTCATTCTGTAAACTGCCGTTTGGGTTCCTGCTGCAGCACATGCAAATGCCTTCAACAGCCCTGGATGCCAACCCTACTTCCCTTTCTTTCTTTTTTCATCAACTGAAGAGTGCTGGGCTGCAGCCGGCCAAGTGGGGTTTTCTTTTCCCCTCTGCCGCCTGACGCTTCACCAGCTGTCAGGGGCTGACAACTTAGAAGTGACCCCTGATGGCAGAGGGGCCCAGGTCAGCCAGCTAGCTCAGTGTCTGTGAGAGGGCAGAGAACACACATGTACACGGCAAATGAAACAAAGGTGAGCATTTTGCTCTGAAGACGATGCCCTAGATGCCCTAGATGATGGACGTGCTACAGGTGGGGCCAGGCTCTCCGGGGAACCTGGCAATGCCATACAGTCGCCCCAAGGAACCAGCCAACACCGGGGCCCAGCCGCACAGCACCCAGCCCTTGTGGCGCTCACAGCACAGGCGGGGAGGTGGCTGGACTGGATGTGACTCCCAACCCAGGAGTTGAGTGACACCGAGACCCTACGCCAGCTGTACTGCATTCACATCAGGTGGGGATTAGCACCAGGAACTGAGTGAGCGGGTTCTGGACTGCAGGGAGGACTCTGGTTCTCCTAAGGCCATGTTAACCTGCATACAACCCTTGAGGTGGGTGGCCCATCTCCTGGGCAGGGAGGCCAAGGGACAGAGGGAGAAGATCTGGCCAAGCTCCCTGAGCTAAGGAGCAAATAGGGTCTCAATCTTCAGTCTGCCAGCTTCATGGGCCTCTGGGAAGTGGGCCCCGTCGGCCTACACGGGGTCCGGAACATCGAGTCAGCCCAAGCATCAGGAACGTTGAATGAGCCTGCCCAACTCCACCTGCCAGCCTCCTACTCTATTTCTAACCTCACAGGTGGAGTGTACGGAGCGACCGGGAGAAGTGGGAGCGGAGAGCGAGGCACCCTGCCTCCTCCCCTCCTCCGCTCTGGGTGACCATGCAGGTATGGCCTGGTCAGGACAGAGTCCGCCGTGTGCCTGGCACCAGGCCAGGCCTCTCACACCTGGCAGGGAGGAATGGTCACATTCCATCAATGCCCAGGAGGAGAAGGACAAGGTCCAGAGGTCATAAGGGGCAGACTTAGCACCTGATCCTTCACAGCAAGCTGGGAAAGCACCCCCCTCGTCACACAGCCCCCTCCAGCCCTCACATGGTCTCAGACAGGGAATAGCCTCTTAGTGGAGACTCATGGCCTGGCTTGCCCCGAGCTGCAGCGCAGGGCCTCCACACCCTCAGAACCTTCTAGGAACTCCATTACACATGAGAATGCCCAGAAGGAAGGAAATGTGGGCAAATCGTAAGTCTAAAACTAAGATGTTGGGACCCCTAACTTGAATGGATGTGGCTCTTAGGTTTTGCACAGGAATTTGGGCGACACGGGGTACAACCCAGGAGAACCTCACAGCGCTTCTATGAGCAGCCACGTGGTGCCTTGCTGACTAGAAAGCATCTCTCACTGGATAAATGAACACCAATCCGTGCACTGGCTTCCTCATCTTCCCACGGCTGCTGAGGGCATGGAGTGACCATGGGCCACAAGAGGGCGCCACTGGGCCAGTCTGGCAGCAAGCCCAGCATTGACCTCCAACCCCTGGGGAAATGTCTCAGGGAAGATAAAGTGGAGGCTGCAAAAGGGTGACTGGCAGAAGACTGATGGGGCCAATGAAGGTGTGGAGGAAGCCCCAGAGGAGGCGCGGGGAGGCGGGGGGGGGGGGGGGGGGTGGTGTTGGGAGGAGGGCCCTGGGGCCTTTAAGGGCCTCACCGACCTTGACTGGTCTTGGGGTGATGGTCAGTTCGTGTGTCCCCCTGGCCAGGCCACAGCCCCCAAAGACTCTATGAATGGTAATCTGGGTGTGCCGTGGAGGTACTCCGTAGATGCAGTGACACCCACGACCAACGGACTTTAAGGAGATGACCCTCCATGCTCTGGGTGGGCCTCATCCAATCAGCTGAAGGCCTTAAGAAGGAAACTAAGGCCTCCCTGAGGAGGAAGAAGCTCACCTATGAACCCCAGTGCCAGCTCCTACCTGCCCCATGGAATTCAGACTCATCAGCCCCACTACCACATGAGTCAATGTCTTGCAATAAATCTCTTGGTATCAATGTATCTGCACATGCAAACACATATCTCCTCAAGGCTCCATCTCTCTGGAGCATGCCGGCTGGGGCAAAACCCACAGAACCCCTGGTTCTGTAAGAAGCCAGCAGGCTGTCAGGTGGAAACTGACTTAGACACATATGGCAACTCTTCAGATTTAAAAAAAAAAAAAAAAGACTTGCAATGAAGACTAGAAGAAAAACTAAAGTGTTCTAAAGCACCTTTGGTAGGTGGACGATATGGGGGTCCTAAGACCTGGGGGGGTAAGGATTATAGACAACCCACCCTTTCTTCCATTCCCCAATTTTTCTGTAAGATGGTTATTTAGAATCAAATACCTTTAAGCCAGACAAACACCCATGGTCCCAGGTCCACCAACAGAGACAAGCGTCCCACCCTGGGGGGGGCACAGTTCCAGGCTTGCTTGGGCTCTGGGGCCATAGTTTTGAATCAGCACAGAGATCAAGTCAGAACAGGGGTTTGGCGGCTACAGGAAGGAAGTGGGAGAGACTGAAGAGCCACTGGACAGGAGAGCTGCCTTCAGGCCACAGATGGCCTGTTGGTGTGGCCCCAGCCACAGGACTAGCCTGGAGGCAACCAGAGGCAGACCTTGACTCAGCATAGGGCCCAGCCTGGCACAAAGGTGGATGGGGCCAAAACACCTCTCCCAGCCGGCTGCTGTGCCCAGCAAGCCCTAACAGGGCAGAGAGCACACCAGTTCCACAATTCTAAATATGATTAAGACCAAAAAAAGACTCACCCCCTGACTTCCTTGAAATCGGATCGAAGGTCTCAGTGAAACAGAGTCCTGCAAAAAAGCAAGATGGAAAAATGTCAATAAAGATATCTGGAAATCCAAAGACTCACTTCCCAGTCATACAAGGAGCCAGATAAGGACAGTGTTTTCAGGAGGGGGTGAAATAAAACCCACACATGTTGAAAGTTACAGGAAAGGTTACTGGAGCAGGGTTTTGAAGGATCAATAGGAGTTCCTCAGATGGCACAGGGGCCAGGGCTGAAGGTACACATGAGAGGCAAGAGTGAAGATACAGGCAATGGGCAGCCCCCTTTCACCATTCTCCCAAAACCAACAACAGCCCAGGTCATCCTGCCTCAGAAACACCCCACTGGAAAGGAATCGGGGTGGGTGAGCACCACCAGCCAGGAGGCAGGCTGATGAGGTGACGCCCTGCCCCCCAACACCCTGGCAGGACAGAGCCCAACGCCTGCCCAGCTCCCACGTCACAGCTTCAGAGCAGCTTGTCACTGCACTTGGAGTGGCGGAATTTCCAAATGTCACAAGAAAAAATACACCAAAAAACTCAAAATAATTCAAGCTTTAGCTATTCAGAGATCAGCCTTCTGGTGGAATTTTAGAAAGAACACGGATCCAGATGGAGGGTCGCACCTCTTTTTCTCATCTATCTTGGGGCTCTCAGCACCCACCTTCTGTGTAGCAGACATCACCCGACAGGGTGGTGCTGGTTTGTCACCACAACCCCTTCCCTCTACCCCCAAACCCACAGGGCCCAAATTGGCCTCTGTGCCCACTGTCCTCCCCAGTTCCTCCACAGGGTGCCAAAGTCTTGGGCTCTCCCACCTCCATCAGAGCCCACCTCTCAGGTCTCCACCCTAGCGCCCCCTAGAGGGAGGGGAGGCTCTCCCACCTGGGCCCTCCCACGTCTCTCTCAGAGCATCTGGAGTGGCTACCTGTCTGCTCCCCACCCAGAATGTCAGGCCCACCGCAAGCCCTGGGTGGGTAGAGGAGCTACATACATGTGGGGAGAACCAACCAATGGGCAGACTGGCATCTTGGTGCCCGTGACCCCGTCACCAACTGGGCCAAGGGCTGTAGGCATGTGAGGGAGACAGGGCTCAGCCAGCTTGGACCCTGTGGGCCACACACTCACCCCACTTTGCTTACCAGGAGCCTCCCCTTTTGCCAAGGATCTCCAAGGACTCTGCCATTTGGAGCAGACCTGAGAGGTCACACGGAGCTCTAGCACTTACCTCCATGGGATCTGACCCCCCAGAAACCACCCCACACTTCTAAAGCACAACACTCCTCACCGCCAGGATATGTAATATATATATAATATGGGAGGTCCCATATTATATATATGTAATATATATATAATATGGGAGGTCCCATATTATATATAATATGGGAGGTCCTCCAGCCCCTTGTGCTGCTCTAGCCCCTGCAGGCACAAGGGCCACCGTGCTGCTGAGACAGGGGCCAGGCTCCCTTCAAAGCAGGCTCAGGACCAGATGACCCGTCCCGCAAACCACAACCAGACCACTGCCTGGGCTGCTGTTCAGAGTACTAGAGGAGCAGCACCGGTGGGGGCCCCGCCTAGCTGGGCCCCTGCAGGTGCAACATTTAAGTGGCCTCTGCTTGGAAATGGGTTAAAGACAGAGATCAAAAAGAAGACCTGGGCTTCCCTGGTGGCGCAGTGGTTGAGAGTCCGCCTGCCGATGCAGGGGACACGGGTTCGAGCCCCGGTCCGGGAGGATCCCACATGCCGTGGAGCGGCTGGGCCCGTGAGCCATGGCCGCTGACCCTGCGTGTCCGGAGCCTGTGCTCCACAATGGGAGAGGCCGCAGCAGTGAGAAGCCCGCGTGCCGCAAAAAAAAAAAAAGACCTGCAGGTGGCCAATAAGCACGGCAGAAGCCCTTACTCATCAGTGAGGAAGAGACGGCGCAGGCACCTACTGGGCTAGCTAAAAGAAAAAAGACAACACCCCAGAGCCCTCGTCCCTTACTGGTGGGAACATACAAGGTGCTGTAGGAAAGTCTGGCAGTTTCTTAAAAGGCTAAACACAGAGTTACCACATGACCCAGCAATTCCATTCCTAGGGATATACCCAAGAGAAATGAAAATATATGTCTGCACAAAAAACATACATAAATGTACATAGCAGAATTACTCTTACTATTCAAAAAATAGCCAACAACCCAAATGTCCATCAGTTGGTGGACAGAGAAACAACAGAATACTACCCAGAAATAAAAAGAAACGAACTCCTGATGGACACAACGTGGACAAACCTCAAAGCCACCAGCTAAGTGAGAGGAGCCCAACATATGACACCACACGATGGATGATTCCATCTATATAAAGTTCCAGAAAAGGCAAAACTAAAGATCAGTGAGTGCCTGGAAGTGGGGAGTGGCTGCAGAAGGGCTGGAGGGAACTTCTTGGGTAGAACATTAACACTCACTGACTATACACCTAAAATGGGGAAGTTCTATGGGTTACAAATGATGCCTCCATAATGCTGTGACCTGCCCTAGGGCATACAGAGGGTCTTTCTCTGAAGACTCATGTGGGCTTTGAGGAACACCACCTGAACATGGGGAGAGACTCCCGTCTGTTAACCATTTTCAGTGCAAGAGTGATATAAAGTGGGTGGAAGGGAAACAGCAGAACACACAAGAACACAGCAAAGACAGCGTCAAGGTAAAGCCACCCTGTCGGTCGTTATTACGGAGCTCTCTACTGACATCACCTGATCATGAAAGCTAGGAAGTCAGGGTGTTCTTGACCAAGGAACAGCAAGTGCAAAGCCCGGAGCAGAGACGTGGGACACCATGGTAGTAAAGAGCATGCAGGACTTGGTTCTCATGCCCCCAGATCTCTCGGTCCAGACCTCTATGCAAGACTCAGCTCGGGGCTAACCATAGCACCATGTGTGTCTGTCATCCACACACAGCAAAGCCTCTGTGTTCCAGGGGCTTGGGGGACAGGGGCCATGACGTCAGCAATGACGCGAGCCTGGATTTAGGTAGCGAAGGAGAGGAACTAAGAAGGGTGCACCTTCCCAGAAGAGACTCCATCAGGGCAGCCCCCCTGGTGCCTGGCTGACTCGATGGTGTGGTGGGCCATCCTCCCCCTGGATCACACGCTCCCTGTGGGCCATCTAGTGAAGCATTTAACTGGCCTAGTTGTCAAGCAAGTTATTTGGGAGACTCCTTTCTCACAAAGTCATTCAGTTCCCAAGGGCACCAAGAGTAAGACTTTATACTGTAGAGCAGTTAGCCAAGAGGTCTAAAATCCCAAGCTTCCTCCACTATGCCAGGAGGGCTGGCTTCAAGTGTGTGTCCCCATGCCGCCTGACTTTCATCACAGAACCAGGGTCCGGGCCACATGGGTTCTTGTGGTGTCTCCTCCCTCCAGTAGGAGGATCAGGCCAGGTCCTTCTCATCAACAACAGAGCAATTCACTCATACCACTGTGCGCGTGTGCGTGCATACGGACACGCGTGCGCACACACACATGTAGGTGATGGGCCACCTGTCTATCGTTATTAGCAAAAAAGACACCAAGCCAAGACCTGTCTAAATTCCACCAGCCCCTGTGCCAGCAGAGGGGACAAGAGCCCCCATTTGGAAGACTTTGGAACAAAAAGAGGAGTCAATGACACTTGGTCAATGACTGAGGTGTATTCTTTTTTCTTCTTTTCCATTTTTTTGGGTCACGCTCCACGGCTTATGGGATCTTAGTTCCCTGACCAAAGATGGAACCCGCACCCTCGGCAGTGAAAGCAGAGAGTCCTAATCACTGGACCGCCAGGGACTTCCCCTGAGGTACGTTCGTTTGTTTGTTTTATAAATTTACTTATTTATTTTATTTATTTATTTTTGGCTGCGTTGGATCTTTGTTGCTGTGCGCGGGCTTTCTCTAGTTGCGGCGAGCGGGGGCTACTCTTCGTTGTGGTGCACGGGCTTCTCATTGCAGTGGCTTCTCTTGTTGCAGAGCCTGGGCTCCAGGCGTGCAGGCTTCAGTAGTGTGGCACGTGGGCTCAATAGCTGTAGCTCACGGGCTCTAGAGCGCAGGATCAGTAGTTGTGGCGCATGGGCTTAGTTGCTCCGTGGCTGTTTGTTTACTGACTGACTGACTGACTGGCTGCACCTTGCAGCTTGTGGGATCTTAGTTCCCTGACCAGGGATTGACCCCGGGCCCTCAGCAGTGAAAGCACAGAGTCCAAACCATTGGACCGCCAGGGAAGTCCCTCCCCTGAGGTGTATTCTAATGGCACTCAGCCCATGCTGCCGAACAGCTGGCGACCAAGAGCAGTCAAAAGCACATGTGCTGGCACCAGAGGGCCCACCCTCAGTGATCTGGGTTAATGCAGCTGCCTAAGCTGGCTGTGGCTCTCGCCCATCAGTTTTCCTCTGTCCTGGGGGCAACAGCCTTGATCCTTTCTGCAGACCTTTCCACATGGGGTGCCTGTAGGTAAGCTGCCTGCTCACCACTGTGTCCCCTGCATCCGGTTTCCAGGAGGAAACACAGGCACTGGCCAGGGCACCTCTCCAAGGGCTGCAGGAGTCTCTGATTTTGGAGTGTCCTGCACACTGGCATGTGACCATCCCACCTGTCACAGACTCCCAGCTTGGAGGCCCAATAACATTTTAATGAAGCACCACAAAATTAAAATTTTTACAAGAAGGTTTAAGAAAAGAGAATTTTCTAAAGTGTTCTAAAGTGTACTTAAAAACTACTTGTGCGTCTTCAACATCCACCAAAGTGGCCTTTGGCACATACTGTTTTGTTGTGGCGTAGGGGCTACTTGAAATGGAGATCTGTTTTAGATCAAAACAGAAGTTTTCAGGTGCTTACTGTGAAGCAAATACACTTTACTTGAATTACTCAAAGTGCATCCAGCCCTGTCACCTCCAAGAAACTATCGGAAGGAAGCTGGTCACGTGATAAACTCATCGGCTCTCTCCCTTCCTTCTGAGTCAGGTTCAAAGTGGGGCAGGTAGTCTGAGGGTAACCCCAAGTGCCGTGGGCCCCTCTGGAAA